GAAATGCAGAATTGCGGAACAAATCTAAACGGCTCGACCTAAGCTCGTGATAGTCGGTGTATAGCATCATGGTTGGAAAAGCCATCACTGTGCCGAAATTGGAGGTCACAGGTCAATGGGGCACAGGGCAGATTTTAGACATTTTCTGAGGACATGGTCTGACGGAGCGATTGAAAAACTTTTTCTTTCAGCGATGACCTAGCTACCATTTTTATGGCTTTATTGAAAGGACCATGAAATTTACTTTCCGCTGACATGCGAAGAGTAAGTGTCGGATAACCTTTTGACCCTCAAGAGGAGGGTTAAACATTGATTTGTGTCACAATGCACCATAAAACAGGAGTTTCAGGCACTGGCAGCAAGATCAAGCCCGCACGTACAGCACACACGCGGCGCCATTGACTATATATACAACATGGTGTCGAACTCGGTTAAGCGCATTCTGGCGGGCCGATTGTCAAAATTGGCGGGTGTATATTGTTAAGCAATGTTCCGCAATTCCAACTATAGTTGGAAAGTGGCGTCACCTGCAGGAACACCGGAGTTGTAACTGATTTAAAACGGTGAGTTGTGGTCCGTGCGGCGGCGAGTTAGGCACCATGTAGTATATATATATAGTCAATGGCGCCGTGTGTGTGCTGTACGTGCGGGCTTGATCTTGCTGCCAGTGGTTTCAGGCACTCGATTTGTATCGACCAATGGGATTTGGGAGGTATGCAGAATGCAAAAGGTTGCTGAAATGATGTGTACGCAACTGTGTATCTGCATATCTGCGCCTAACAAAGGTGTCACTACGCACGATTTAAATGTTACGTTTATAACCATAGCAACAGACCTCAGATGAGCCCAGACGCTCTGCGGCTCTTGTTTCATAATTCGATTTTTTGTTTCATGGTTGATTTTATCACATATAACATTCACGGATCAAATGCTTTGATTCAAGGATAGAATGCTTCGATTCACAGATCGAATGATTCGATTCACAGATCGAATGATTCGATTCGTGAATCGAATGATTCGATCCGTGAATCGAATAATGCGATTCAGAGTCACGAGAGTTTCACAGTTTTAGAGGGACGAGGTATATGAGGAGGGGAGAAGGTGGTACAGGAGGAAGGAGAGAAGGTAGAGGACGAGGGAGAAGGTAGTGGGGGAAGAGGAGGGGAGAAGGGGTGGAGGTAGAAGAGGTAGAGGACGTGGGAAAAGGTAGTAGAGGAGGGGGAGAAGGGGAGGAGGTCGAAAAAGGGGACAGGAAGGAGGTAGAAAAAGGGTACAGGAAGGAGGTTGAGGAGGAGGGTAGAAGGTGGTAAAGGAGGAGGGTAGAAGGTGGTGGGGGAGGAGGTAGAGGGGGAGAATGTGGTGGAGGGGAGGGGGAGTTGGGAGAGAGGAGGTCGAGGATGGTGGAGAAGGTGGAGGAGGTAGAGGAGAGGGAGAAGGTAGAAGAGGGAGTAGGTAGAGGATGGTGGGAGAAGACTGAGGAGGTAGAGGAGGGGTAACTTTAATGGAGCTTCCTAGAAGTCAGGTGACAGATCGTATGACTATGACGTCAAAACTTGAGCATCTAGTAATTACTTTACTACTTGTTAAATAACGTAGACAAAGTGTAAATCTCATAAACTTTAATGGCAAAAACAGGTTTTTCATGGTGGTTCCTACTTAGTATAACAGTTTCCCATGTGCAGAGACAACAATTCTTCTCATTAGTTTAGTGTTAAGGTGGGCTACAGAATGCAAGACGTATGTTACATTAGATTAGTTAAAATTGGAAAATTACATGCCAGATTTCGAGTAGCCAGCTGGTCAGTTAATGTGTCTGCCTGGTCATCTGGTTCATCATAGGGTCCAGGGTAGGGGTAACTTCTTCTGTACCTCCCAGAACGAGATGCATTAGATGTGGGCTGTAAAGGACAATGTTAGCAGCTACCGTAAATGCTATGGGTATTCCAATTTAGGTAATTTCGTACATATATTTTGTTGTTAATTCATACCTCTTACTGGTTTGGCTATTTTTAAGACAAGGTTATGTCAAGCACAAAAGAGAATCGAGATAAAATCTAGCACTATACTACAATTTACGATTTACAATTATAATGCTATGATTAATTTAGAATTTTACTCGTAAAATAACTAGGATTCATGTACAAACATGTACATATTATTATATAAACCATGCATATATATGGAGGGACAGACTCAATCACGTGTGGACCAAGCTGTTGACCACTACACCATCTGGTGGTCAAATCTGATGTCAGTCAGCATTGAACGCCTCCTGTTAGGATGCGAAACGCTAGCAGTACGTTTGAACTTCACGGTTGAGCAAAAATTAACCAAGTTAGCACTGCATATATGTTCTAGCTCAACACACCAGCACAGTCCTGATGTGCCTCTCACAACAGCTAAAATACTGTTTAATCAGCGAGATCTGTTTAAGATCCAATTCCTAGAACATGCGAAATCCATACATGTAGGAACTTTGTGTGCTGTGTAACCTCGTAGTGATACATAAGCGACAAACAGAACACAGAGCTAGCTACCTACCTGTGGTTGTGACTGAGACTGCAATTGCTGAGCTTCGTGGGAAGGACTCATGTGGGCGCGGAATTGCTCCAGCTGAATCCGCAGCTGCTCCATCTCATCGTGCTGCCGCTCACGCGCGCTCCTCTCCGCCTGGAAGTCTGCATGGTAGATATCCATCTGTGGATGTCAAACAAATATTGCATGTGAATTCATGACGGCTGGACATCCATGCAAAAGCAGCCACGACTTGCGGGTTTGGCAGGCGGCTGTAACAGGCATCAAAATGCCTGGTCGTCCAAAAACCTGGTCTTCTTCTGCCCAATGTGCATTTCCCCTGAGGGTGCGTATGACTTCAACAAAGTTTTACATGTTGTTGAAACTTGCGGGCAAACTAGGATGCCACGACGAAATATTTGTTATATACCAAACAATTATAATCGCTGATGTCCTTATTTTTATATCGTTCTTAGAAGGGTACGTATTACTGCACAGGCAGTTATTGACTGGTCATAAGTTCACCTGCCACACTGGTTATCCTAACAACAGAAAAAATGTGATGCCTTTGCAAGATAGGGTACACTCACTATACAGCACACCATCTCGCATCGGTCATGATGCTGCTATGTATGTCAACCTCACCTGTGCTTTTAGAACAGGAATAGTCTCCAGATCTTCCCGCAGCTTCCTCAGTTCCTCACTGAGGGCACAGATCTCCTGATCTTTGCTACTGACAAGGTCTTCAGATGTCATAAGACGGGCCAACAGGTTATCTATCTGCTGGGACTGTTGCCGCAACTGCTTCATTGTAACATCTGGCAGAGCATCCTACAACGATGAAAACAAGACTTGATAATCACCATTCTAATTATTTAATACAGGGGCAGGTTGAGGTGAGGATGTTAGATGTAACAAGCTAAAAATTCAAGTACTTATTAATGTAATATATTATATTATAAATAATATTATTATTATGAATTAAAATTAATAATTAAAAATAAACATAATGTAAAATAAAAATAACATCTTATAATATATTCATAAATTTACAATATATAGAATAAATATCAATTATATAAAAGTCAGTATTATCAAATAATAGAGTAATGAAGATGATCAACACTGTAGTATTGAAAGAGATATAAATTTAAGGGAGCTACCAGTCAAATACTGCATGGCATCTCCCAGAGGAAATACCCACCCCGTGGTTTCCACTGACGTGCTCCAATGTTTCGGACAATTCTTGAAAGTCTTTACACAATCGCTCATATTGCGCTCTCGTTTCAGCCAACTTTCTCCTGCAATCAAACAACATACACACTCCATATAGGCTGCCATGCTCCAATGTGAAAAAAACATTTGGTAGGCTTACCCACTTCACATGTACCAGGTAATATATATATATATATTACCAGTAACGATGCAACGTGATTTAAGTGTGCATGGATGTAACCTAGTGGCGACACGTACTGGTCTGTTTGACTCTGCTTGCGTTCTGCATCTAACGCTGCTTCCAAGTTAGCGACGTTGATTCGCAGCGAGTCGATGAGTGTATCGTCATGCTTTTGCAAATGCTTCTTTGCTTCCTCACTCACCACCCAGCTGGCGCTGCAACTCTTCAATCCTGGACAGAAAGAAAATACGAATTTGCATTTGATTAGATAACGAGTAGCTAAGGGTATCCAGGAGACATCGATGGGCTAATGGGTACAATAACTTTTTCAGGATGTACCAACGACACGCTGCAACCCAGGATTCAGTTACCTTCGTAGCGCCTTCACAATTGCAAGCGATCACCTGACTTCACAAACTAACAAGAATTTCCCAGCTAGAGTGACTACCAATCTTTACCCAATTTTGCAGCTAGTGGGAGCAAAGTCCTCTGTGGAACCAATCAGATTTTAATGATCAAGCTCGCAGACTTAGAAGCACACCAAGTGTGTTTGCTTGGTATGATGTCAGTAAAAATGCCTACATGGATGACAGATAAATACCACAGATGCAGTTAGCAACTAAAGTAAAACTCGTGCAGCTATACCCTATACGCTATACGATACTATACACCATACATATCATATCATAGCAACATACCATACCATATCCATTACCATACCATACAATACCATATCCATACAGAAGCATACCATAGGAGCGACCATACTAACTATACTATACTCATGTAAGTACTAGTGTTTAAATATCCATTGTAGAATACTTATGTATACGCATTTCCGAAAATGCAGGGAGGTACATCCGCCGATTTTCATACTGTGAATCTGCCATCTTTCGCTCATCTGTGGCTCCAATCTCTTCTCTCCCAGATTTCTGAATTACTCTGACCAGGACATCACCTTAGCTTCAGCATCTGACTTCGCATATCATTCTCACACACTAGGGAAAATAGATGCTGGTCATTAATTTAATCACATACACTGGACGTCAATGCTTACAACGAATGAAATGCGCATAGGCACTTTGAACTTGCTCATTGTCACAGTGTATATATATATGGTAACTAGATATGAATCTAATGAAAACGATGTTAGTTGGTTCTGTTTTTTGTTTGAACAGTGTGAGAGCAAGAAAATGTGTCACAAATTCAAGAATAGTTGAACATAATACAACTGCTCAATAGAAGACGTAGCATTTTTTTACCTATCAAAGTGTATATTTTCCTACAGATCTGATCCTAGTTCCATGCACTCATTTCTATTCAACTGATCATATAGCTTAGATTATGCATAGTTCCCTCCACTGACCGCCACAATAATAATTTTTTTTTTTTGCCCCACCCAACCAGGCTGAAGGTTTGGGTAGTAGATCGGCTTTTTGTTTGAGGCGGGTCTTTTTTATAAATTCAGGCATGGTGTCTACATGTCTGCGTGTGTGCGTGTTGGAGATACCTTTAATGTTGAATGTTGTTCTGCTTCTGTACATAATAACGCATTGCTACAGATGTTATATAGATGTAGAAAAAAAAAACATGTGATACACTTCGGGATTTGGTCAAAAAAAAAGAATGGGCAAAGATGCATATACAAAAATCGATCGGCCCCTTTGGTCGCTCGGTCGGGGTGAGTGGCATAACAAGACAATATGTGTATTATGGCCCCCTCAGTACCTTTTACACACTCTAATTCTATCAATGTCCCTCATTCTAATCAACTGAGAGTCAAACTACGCTCAGATACTGCCACAAGTTTCATAACACTACACAGCGAACAACAAAACACAATGCCTTTACATTACTGCTAACTTCCATTCAATATCACTGCATCTCTATCCAATGATAATATACAGAAATATGCGTAGTTCCGCACACTGCCCGCCTAGTACGCTTTTATGTAATTTGAGGCCAAGGAGTGGTCTTTCCAACCGGCCTTTCCGTTCGATTCTCAATCCGTACAACAGCATAATCGTTCAGCATGCTGCGGCTCTCCCGCGCCACTGGCCCAGAACCGCGACGCTGTTCATCCTTGAAGGTCTCCACATGGGCAATGTCGTGTCACTGGCGTTCTCACCCCTCTCGCCTGTGTCTTCCCTGCAGTCAGCCGGCTGGTTTTCTGCACAAGGAGCCGCCGACGTGTCCCCCGCAGCGTGCGGCGCTAGCCGGTGGTCAATCAGTGATGGCGTGCTGTCGCCACTGCTTCTTGCTGTGCAACAATGCGACGCGATGAGTCGGCGGGAAATGCAAGCCGCACTTGATGCATTGTTGCAAATTGGAGGAGAATTGAAATGTTGAAGAAGGGAATGTCCAAGGTGTAAAGAATATTAGCTGGAAGTATGGTGGACCTAATGGCTATCCTATCTTCAGGCGTTATGTATCGCGGGTTACAGAGGAGAAAAACCAGAGTTAACGTGATAATCATGAGCGCCCTACCGTTAGTGGAAGAAGTTTACCCAGTCAGCGAGATGACACCCTTGAAAAACCATGCTGCAGGAGTCTGACTAATTAAATCCCAAAAGCTTGAATCGAAAACAGATTGAGGAGAAATAAAAACAACAAGATAATTGTCCGCAGATAGGTAAGGAACGAGCACAAGAAATAGCATTAGTCACTGGAGCAATAACATTTCATCCTTTTAGTAGATAGTCCATCCTACCTAGAAGCCTTGATTAGTGGTTGTTATACAACATACTTTTAATAGACCCTCCTCCGTCTCCTTACCTCGTGCGATTCTTGGGACGATTTCCTCCAAAGGTTCATTTCGTTTTTCCACATCTGTTCCTTCTTCTAGGTTTAGGCTGTAATTAAATAAACTCTCATGACAGTTGACTCCATGTTATGTTAAGGAGCGCAAGCTTGAAGACATTACATAAACAATTAAGACTACTGAGAGCAGCGACGCCCCTGAGCAAGAACCATTTGTAATACTAGAGAATTTACTGGCTGCTGACTCCAGGGGTTCTCCTGGTAATAACACTGGCATTAATTTACTAGGAACTTGGTAATGCAACTTTGAGCCAAATTCCAGGCCCCATATCTAGATTAGGATTGTCACTTCACAAAAATGAAATTGTGTGTGTTCTGGAATACTAAATGTTGCTTTCTTTAATGGAACCCTCAACGTTCACCAAACACAAAACACTTTATTAGCAAGATGGTGAAACAACGTATTATAAGTGTCTGCTTGCTCACCGCATCTGCTGTTACTGTTCAATGATCCTTCACTCAGCTTCGAATAATACTGATACTCTGCGCATTCCTGGGCAACCTGCCTTCATCAGAGACGTGTTACGCTCCACGAGGCTCTGTCTGGAGGAATAGTAACAACCAGGCCATTCATGCATCACGAGGCTGCTCCGGTTGTGTGTATTTAAGCTCGTCTCTATGTTCTGAAAGCTGCCTAGAACCGTCACTAACGAAACTACTTTCACACAATCAGCTGGGAATTAACAAACCTAACGAGTTGAAGGGCATATCGCAGAACTCTGCCGATAGATATTAGCCGAGCAAGCCGTGGTATAACACTGATGATGGATTCCACAACCCAGAACATTTTTGCCTACACCACATTCGACATAACCACCTATATCGAAAATGACGTTGTTCCATCTTTCGCACGTGGCTGAGGTACGGTAGCCGGTCGTTCTGTTGAAGCCCCTTTTGTGTGTTAGGGTAGGGTTAGGGTAGGTAGGTTAGGTTAGGTTCTAGCTTCATCTACACTCGGCTAAATCGTGGAATTTATTTCCAAGGCGTTATTAGTGAAATCTGGCGCCTACCGCCGGCCATCTTGTCTTCGTTAAGTAGGAAAGCGAATGGATCTCGCGTACACCGACTCGAGACATTAAAGATACGTCTACCGTACCGTACACTGTCCGTACCCTAAACTTGGAATCCTGCAACAATCGTGCGAGATTGTTTGCACTGATTGGCTGGCCCAAGACGCGGATTCCCTAGTTTGGCTGAACTAATCTCAAATTGGGCAACTGAAAAGCATTCGGTGAATCAACAATCCGCTCATACGAGTGTTGGTTGGTGTGCTGTGGTGCATAAACTATACGGAAGAAATTTATCTCATATTTATTCAATTATATTATATAATCTTTTTATATTTAACATCACAAAAGGGCTAACCAACTATTGGAATGAATAAAAGGTAACGACCCTTCATATATTAATAGTTAGGAATATAGACATTGAAATGCCTAATTAATTCATGGATGTTTGTGCAGAGCTCTGTTTACGTCTGTTGCCGAAGGTCTCAAGATTGGTTCCCAACTGCGGAATGCGCTGAAATTCTCAAGTGTTGTGTATTAGCATTCCAAGTTGCGCACAAACATAGCACTTGCTTCTATCTTAACTGCATATAAGGACTTGCATACAATTTAAAAACAAAGCAGATGTACGAACGTACTGAGACATACATCAAAATTATTTAACAACCACAACAACAGACAACAACAACAAACAACAACAAGCAAACAACAACAACAACAACACAACAACAACAACAATCAACAACAACAACGACGGACGACGTGACAACACCAATCAACCACCATCACCGACCCACCCCACCATCGACCAACAACAACAACAGGCACAACAACAACAAAAAAACAACAAAACCAACAACAACAACAACAACTAACAACAACAACAACAAACAACAACAGCAGCGACTGATCACCTTTCCAGGAGCTTGTTTCGTGAATAACCTGCATGCACAAGGTGTTGCAGCTCGGGCGCGGACAGCGACGACGTTTAATGAGAAAAGAGGTGACGCTAAAGTGTCGTCGAAATTGACAAACCGACGTGCCACACTAGACAGTTCGTGGGTTGGAAAGGAACACGATATATCCGAACGACAAACACTGCGATTTTATAGAGTTGTCGAGAAACTGGGACCACCTTCCGCTACCATGCCGCACCGACCCGGTTGATTGTCCAGTTTTGATTTCGCCTAATTACTATCAGCCATGTTAATGTGTGGTAATAACGGAATAGATGATCATATATACAACCTACACGACGTCCAGGATTTTATGTTTGATGTCGGCGCACTATCAGCGATTGCAAGTTACGGTAATAGATATGTTAATGAGCAGCAAGGTTGAGAAGTCCGCTGCACATCTCAATGATAAACCTAGGCGTGACCATACGTAGTTACTATATTCCAGAAAAAAAGTAATTGAACATATAAAAGCGCATCAAAGAACAAAATTACCTACTAATCGTGTATAAATGCATGAAATTAAAATTCCTTTTTTATAGCCTATAGGTACCTAAACCGATATACAATTACTGTATGTTGCTTTAATCGGTTAGCATGCAGTACGATTGACGTAGCCGCTAGCGAAGAACTGAGAGTTACACCTCCTTGGCTATATTCATGTGAATTTGAGTATGCATTATCTGCTTCAAATCTGACCAAACTGTCAATCTGCATGCGAGCGCAAAGTTTATGGACATGGCAACAGTAGATCTACACAGTAGATAACCAAAACTAGCCTCAAGTATTCCAAGGTAATCAACGTCCATTGCCTCCGGCTTCGAATAGTGCCAAAAACAAAAGGCAAAGTCAAAGTGACAGTCAGCGTTTTCCAACATACTTTGATACACCTAACAACTTTACAAGTGCAAGCATAACTCTAGAGTACTAGTTAGCGCCGCGTACACTGTACGCGTATGCATGTAATTTTGTTGGTCCGCACTGACGTAGTCCAGATGCATCTGTAGAATCCATGATCGTCCGTGCCGTGCGTCCGTGCGTCCGTCTAACGAGTTGGGCACGAATCTAAACGCTCGACGTACGGATTCGAAAGTCGAGATTGTGTGGTTGTGTGTGGGGGGGGGGTACGACAAACGAGTTTGGATTCGACGCTGGGGGTCAACGGTCAAGGTCAGGAGAGTGTTGTCAAAGAAGGGGGAACATTCGCTCTCCTTAACTCTAAGGTAATAGGGAAGGAAATGCAGATTGCGGAACAAATTCTAAACGGCTCGACCTATACTCGGGATACGTCGGTGTATATGCACATGGTTGGAAAATCCATCACTTGTGCACGAAAATTGGAGGTCACAGGTCCAATGGCGCACAGGGCAGATTTTAGACAATTTTCTGAGGACATGGTTGCTGCACGGAGCGATTGTAAAACTTTTTCTTTCAGGCGATGACTCTTAGCTAACCAGTTTTAATGGGCTTTAATTGAAAGGACGCATGAAATTTTTATTTCCGGCAACATGAGCGAAGAGTAAGTGTCGGCATAACCTTTTGACCCTCAATATGGAGGGTTAACCATTATATTGTGTACAATGCCACCATAAAAACAGGAGTTTCAGGCACTGGCAGCACGATCAAGCCCGCAACGAACAGCACAACGCGGCGCCATTCGACTATATAATACAACATGGTGTCGAAGCTCGGTTAACCAACTCACGCCGCATCTGCGCCGCCGCCGCCACTGCTCAACAACTTGCGCGCGGCTAATGTACATGTCTCCCGCATATCCTCCAACCTATACGCCACCGTGCCACTTCAAAGGCGCCCCATAACCGACTGCTACAACTGATTTAAAACGGTGAGTGTGGGAAACTGCGCGGCGACTGGCCGCGATTCGACACCGCATGCTTGTATATATACGTCAAATGGCGCCGTGTGTGTGCTGTATCGTGGCGGGCTTCGATCTTGCTGCCAGTGGTTCGCACTTCGATTTGTATCAACCAATGGGATTTGGCGAGGTATTGCAGAATGCAAGAAGGTTGCGAAATGATGTGTACCAACTGTTGTAATCTGCATATTCTGCGCCAACATAGGTGTCACTACGGCACGATTTAAATGTTACGTTTATAACGCATAGCAAACAACCTCAGATGACCCAGACGCTCTGCGGCTCATGTTTCATAATTAATTCGATTTTTGTTTCATGGTTGATTTTATCACGATATAAACATTCTACTGATCAAAATGCTCGATTACAGATAGAATGCTCGTCACAGATTCGCATATGATTCGATCACAGATCAGAATGATTCGGATTCACAGATCGAATGAATTCGATTGTGAATCGAATGATTCGATCCGTGAATCGAATAATGCGAATTCAGAGTCACTGAGAGTTTCACAGTAGTTTTAGAGGGAACGAGGTTATATGAGGAGGGGAGAAGGTGGGTACAGGAGGAAGGAGAGAAGGTAGAGACCGAGGGATGAAGTTAGTGGGGAGAGAGAGGGGAGAAAGGGGTGGAGTAAGAAAGGTAGAGGACTGGGAAAAGGTCGTAAGAGGAGGGGGAGAAGGGAAGGAGGTCGAAAAAGGGGACAGGAAGGAGGTAGAAAAAGGGTACAGGAAGGAGGTTGAGGAGAGAGGGAGAAGTGTAAAGGAGGAGGGTAAGAAGGTGTGGGGAGGAAGGTAGAGGGGGAGAATGTGGTGGAAGGGGGCGGGAGTTGGGAGAGAGGAGGTCGAGGATGGTGGACGAAGGGGACGAGGTAGAAGGAGAGGGAGAAGGTAAAAGAGGGAGTAGGTAGATGGATGGTGGGAGAAGACTAGGAGGAGGTAGAAGGAGGGGGGAAAGTGGTAGAGAAAGAAGAGGGGAGGAACGCGAGGCCTAGAAGGTGTGGTGGGGAGGAGGGGGACGGAGCGTAGAGGAGGTGGAGGAGGTAAGAGGGGAAGAATTGGTAGAGGGGAGGGGGATTGGAGGATAGGGAGAGAGGAGTAGGAAGGAGGGGAGAAGGTAGAAGAGGGAGGAGTCGAGGATGGTGGGCAGAAGGGGAAGAGGTAGAAGGAGAGGGAGAAGGAGAGAAGAGGGAGTAGGGATAGAAGGTATGGGTGGGAGAAGACTGAAGGATGTAGGAGCGAGGGGAAAAAGTGGTGGAGAAGTGAGGGGTGGAGGAGGAGGGTAGAGGTGGTGGGGGAGAAAGGGGAGGCAGGTAGAGGGGAAGAATGTGTGGAGAGGTAGGGGGAGTTGGGAGATCGGGGAGAGAGGAGGTAGTAGGAGGGGAGAAGATAGAAGAGGAGGAGGTCGAGACAATGGTGGAGAAAGGTGAGGAGTACGACGGAGTAGGTGGGAGAAAGACTGCGGAGGAGAGTTGAGTAGCACCAGACACGGTAGCAGGGACCTATCATAGAGGGCGTGTAAGATGGAGGTGCAGGAGGAGCGGGACGAGTTAATCAAAGTTGACTAGACACAAAACGAGTGTGTGCCATTTTCGCGGTGGTTTGCTGGTGTGGTGTTTTGAACATAAACATTGTTCAAAACTACCCATTGTCAACTCAAAATGCTAAGAATAGATTGTAACATTATTATTTGATATCTTCTGCTTATTATGAGCTATAATAGTTTATAGAAATTTATTAATTATCATAATGTAAAAATGCTCCAGTTGAACTAGTGCCGTTTTGCTCAAGTTGTTGATAGATGGCGCTTGAGTCGGAAACGTGGTCCGGTATAAATTTCAGGATCGTATGATTCGATTCTGGAATCGAATCATTTGATTCTGGAATCGAATCATTCAATTTTGGAATCGAATTATTCGATCTGCAAATCGAATCATTCGATCCGCGAATCGAATCATTCGATCCGCGAATCGAATCATTCGATCCGCGAATCGAAGCATTCGATCCGCGAATCGAATCATTCGATCCGCGAATCGAATCATTCGATCCGTGAATCGAAGCATTCGATCCGTGAATCGAAGCATTCGATTCCAAAACCGAATGGTTTGATGCCAGGATCGAATGGTTTGATTCTCTTTTCTGATATAAAATCAAATAATGTGAACATTTAAAACAGAGAATTATTGTTGATTTATTGCATATAACATATGATTAAATAATCAAATATTATATGAGATAAATCAAATGTTATATGCAATAAATCAAATGTTATATATGTGATAAATCAAATGTTATATATGATAAATCGAATGTTATATGTGATAAATCAAATGTTATATGTGATAAAATCAACCATAAAACAAAAATCGAATTATGAAACAAAAAACATGCCATATACGCGGGCTTTAGTACTAGAGCTACTACAAGCGCAACGCACAAGCCACGTTTCAGCGTAGTCTAGCGGTAGCAAATCTATCTAGGTAAAATGGTGCCCTTTTGGTCCTGAAAGTGGGACCAGGGTTGTCCGTGGTCATGGCTGCCGTTCAGCAAACGTTGGAGAGCTATCAGCAGTGGGAAGGTTTTCTGGTATCACGAGAAAACAGTTGTAAATGTTATTTATCACCATACGAAAACATACTGTGTATATGTTACAAATTTTCCAAGTTAATTATGAAGTTGTGTCAGCGTCACACCCACCATCCAAATACTCACCACCACCGGCATCCAATGCATTGTATCTCAGAAGTACATGGTCAGCCTCACAAAAATCTGCAAAACTCATCTGTATTGCAATAGACATTATACTTTATAGATAGCTTTTGTAATTTTGGGTCCAACCCAGTTCTATTTGCTATAGAAAGCATTTTTCAAGTGTGAGTTGGTATGTGTTGAAATCTAGCATATTGGTACTGTTATAGCAAACTTAAGTTAACCTAATATAATCCTAAGTAATTCAGGCCCGTAGCCAAGGGGGGTTCGGGGGGTTCGCACGAACCCCCCCCCCCAAGCAAAAAAAATTGCAAGAATTTCACCTCAGGTATGCACCAGATCACTCCATTTTAGTGTAATAATTGCAAAATCTCCATCGTGTGGGAGGGGGGACACCCCCATCCAACACCCTCCCCCTGCTCGGTCGCTATGCTCCCTCACAAATTTCCAACATTTAAAAACGAACCCCCCCCCCAATATAAAGCTGGCTAAGGACCTGAGTAATTAAACAATATTATTAATGAATTGAATATTCATCGATCACATTTATAGCTGCGGGCTCAAGTTCCTGTACTGAAGAAAGCTGTGCTAGATGAACAGTCAAAAGAAGCACAGCTAAAGGTAAGTTATTATATACTAGTACTGTCAAATTTGTAACAACCAGAAACGTCTGGTACACATGCTAGATTACCTGACATGGTCAGGTGCAGCTAGTAGAATGGAAAATGAACTTATCCATCCATGTTGTCATTAGTTCCACAAATTGATTTCCAATATTTTCGAAAATCACCACTAGGTGGCAGAAATAAGCAGCACTGGGTTGCATTAGGAATATCTTGAAATATAATCATGAATACAATTCTTGTTATGTTATGTTATCTGGTTTCTGTGAACCAGTATAGCAGATGCAGCCCTCGACACTAACGGTTGGTCGATTGCCCGGGACAAGTGAAAGTCTACGTCGAACAAATTATTCTCTTGGCTAGTTGCCCGATCGGACAACTAAAAAATGTCCAGTTGTGTAAAATTCCTAGCATCCTTTGAGCCAGGGCGCTATCGCATGACATTTCTCACGTTGTATTTTCGAAAGTCGCCAAAAAAAGCCGCCCGCTACACCCGTGTCTGTGGCTGTGCAAATCGTGGCTGTGTACATGCCTGCTGGCTGGGAGGCATTGATTGAAGTACGGGGGGGGGGGGGGTAAGTGCACCGATTGTTTCAGTCCCGTGGGACGTTCATTACTGAATATGTAGGGGGTGGGCACCGCTGGTATGAGAGAGCGACAGCAAAACTCTTTCCTGGAATTGAGAAAAAAGCTGCAATCAGCTCGCAAAAATAAACGTTGTGTGAATTTCATTACGATTTTCCATAATTATATACTGTAATATGATATACACTGAACTAAAAATGTACCTTAACGGCTCTAGATTGCAAGTAAATTTTGGACAAGTAAAACCAAGTAAAAATTGCTTCTTGTTGCTTGACAGGACAACCAGATCTGAAAATAAGCATCGAGGCCTGAGATGCATAATATACTTCCAATTCAGATTAGTTAAACATGCAACATTTCTGCATTACTGGGCAAATATGCATTTACAATACACAATGTAACAGGTTAATCAAGATTTGAAGCATTTAACTTCCTAACACCAAGTAAAGACTAGGCTCAAGTCAAAATTGTATATATATATTACTGCACTGGGCTGTCATAATATAGGCTCTACACTACCAGTGCATGTATGATCATGCAAGTTTATAGTATATATATATATATATATATTATATTATATATATTTACTTTTATGCTTTTATGTAGGAACATGTCAAGGAGAAAGATCAGGCTATACGAAAGTTCCAACAAGAGATTGAGAGTCTCGATTTTCGAAATGCTCAGCTGACGAAACGTGTCACTCTCCTCCAGGGTGAGCTTGATGACATGTTGGCTCGCAAACGAAATAAGGTAAAAGACTGCCTCCATACTTGAGTTAGTTTAGTTCGGATTTAATCCAAGTTACATTATGCCACATTCGTGCAATTTAATTAAAGGTGACTGGGAATTGTAATATGGATTCAACTTTGGGATTGTTTGTGAATTTACATATACTTGGTTCAGGAAATATACTTGTACATTTATGTTAACTTAAGATAAGATTACTTCTTAGATTTTGGTTTCTGTTGGGGACAATAAGACTGCAGAGATTCAGACTTTTCTATTCGAATAGCTTTTGCTGCTAAAACTACATGATTTTGCATTATACCTTAAAAAAATTATGCGAGTCCTAAATAATTCTTATATGCAAGGACTGGAAGAAAATGATGTGCGTCTTTCTATTACATGTTGTATAATTGTGTATTAGTAAAGTTGGTGACTCATTGCGTATGCCTGGAATATAATGCTAACATATAGCAGGAGGTAGGTGATAGTACTGTCACTCACTATAGACATGAGACTAGTTCCTGTGGTGACACAGACAGATAAAATAAACCAACCCCTAGTAGGACAATTTGGTCTGGCACAATAGTAGGATAAACCCCCAAAAACAATTTCTGGATGTCTACGTTGCAAACTGGTCTACTAGTGTCACCTGCCAGATGGTATACGTTGTTATTTAAATTTGTAAAATATGAAATTGACTGATCTGTGTGCAGAACAGACAAGGGCAAGCACAGTCTCCGTTGTCCTGTGCAACTGCCACGACTAACAACAGTGTCCTCAGTGAGGAACTGCAGAGTAAGATCGAGGAGAACGCCCAGCTGCACACGGAGGTAATGGACTAGTAGGCATGGTTTTTAGCTCATCTGACATAGTCAGATGCAGCTTGTAGAATCGCATGATCGTCCGTCCGTCCGTCCGTCCGTCCGTGCGAGCGTCCGTCCGTCCGTCCGTGCGAGCGTCCGTCCGTCCGTCAACAGTTGGGCACAAATCTAAACGGCTCGACGTACGGTCACGATATTCGGGACGTGGGGGGGTAATATACCATACCATACCATACTATACTATACTATACTATGTAATACTATGTAAATACTATGTAAATACTATGTTACGTTTCCAAAATGCAGGGAGGTAAAATTTTCATACTGTGAATGTGCCATCTTTAGCTCATCTGTGGGCTCCAATCTCTTCTTCTCCAGATTCTGAAGTTCTCTGACCAGTGACATCACCTGAGCTTTCAGCATCTGACTGTCATTATCCTACACACAGTGGAAAATAGATGCTGTCATTAAATTTAATCACATACACTGAGTCAATGCTCAAAATGAAATGGCATAGCACTTTGTACTTGCTCATGTGCACACTGCACAGTGTATATAATGGGTAACTAGATATGAACTAAATGAAACCATGTTTATTGTATGTTTTGTTTGAACAGGTGAGAGCAAAAAATTGTCACAAATGCAAGAATAGTGACCATAATACAACCTCAATAGAAGACGTAGCATTTTTTACACAAGTTATATTTTTCTAAGATTTCTGACTCTAGTTCCATGTCACTCATTCTATCAACTGATCAATATAGCTTAGATATGCATAGTTCCCACACTGCCCGGGCCACAATTAAATTTTTTTTTGTTTGCCCTCACCCGACCCAGGCTGAAAGGTTTGGGTAGGTAGGTCGCCTTTTTTTTGAAGCGGGTCTTTTTATAAATTCAGCATGGTGTCTACATGCTCGGGTGTGCTTGTGTGGAGATACCTTTAATGTTGAATGTTTGTTTTGCTTCGTACATAATAATGCATTGCCTACAGATTTATATAATGTACAGTGATACAATTTGTCAAAAAAAAGAATGGGAAATATCAATACAAAAATTTGAGTCGGCCCCTTTTTGGTGCGTCGGTCGGGTGAAGGCAAACAAACAATATTTTTATTATGGCCCCGCTGAGTACCTTTATGTAATTTTGAGGCAAGGAGGGGTCCTCCAACTCGGCCTTTCCGTTCGACAAATGCCGCACCACAGCATAATCGTTCAGCATGCTGGCGGCCCCCGCGCCCCCGCACGCTTGTTCATCCTTGAGGCTCCACAGGCAATCGTTCAGCTTGGCGTTCTCCACCTCGGCCTGTGTCTTCTCCTGCAGCAGCCGGCTGTTTTCTGCACAAAGCTCGGCCACCGTGTCCCGCAGGTCGGCTAGCCGGTGGTCAATCAGATGCGTGCTGTCGCCACTGGCTTCTTCCTGCAACAATGCGACGCGATGAGTCGCGGGAAATGCAGCCCACTGATGCATTTGGAAAGGAGGAAATGAAATGTTGAAGAAGGGAATCCAAGGTGTAAAGAATATAGGCTGAAGTATGGTGGACCTAATGGCTATCCTATCTTCAGCGATTGTATTCCGGGTTATCAGAGAGAAAAACCAGAGTTAGTGATAATCATGAGCCCTACCGTTAGTGAAGAAGTTACCAGTCATCTAGGATGACACACTGAAAAACATGCTCAGGAGTCTATATTTTATAATCCCAAAAGCTGAATGAAAACAATTGAATGAAAAAAAACAACAAGATAATGTCCCAGATAGTATAAACACACAAAAATAGCATTAGCACTGGAAGCAATAACATTTTGCATCTTTTATAGAAGTCCATCTACTAGAAGCCTTGATTATGGGTTGTTATACAACATATTTTAATAGACCCTCTCCTCCGTCATCCTTACCTCGGTCGATTCTTGGACGATTTTCTCCAAAGCTTTCATTCGTTTTTCACACTGTTCCTTCTCTAGGTTTAGGCTGTAATTAAAAACTACATGACCTGATCCATGTTATGTAAGGAGGCAAGCTGAAGACATTACATAAAAATTAACACTGGAGAGCAGGAGCCCCTGAGCAAGAATTTTGTAAACTATGAGAAATTTACTGCTGCCACCCCCAGGGTTCTCCCGGGTAATAACCATGGCATTAATTTACCAGGACTTGGTAAGAACTTTGAGCAATTTCAGGCATACTAGCATAGGATTGTCACTTCACAAAAATGAAATGTTTGTGTTCTGGAATATAAGTTGCTTTTTTAATGAACCCTGCAACTTCACCAACACAAAACACTTTATACAAAGATGGTAATCAAACCTGATTATAGTGTTCTTGGCTTGCTCATGCATCTGTCTGTTATGTTCAATATCTTCACTCATCTTGAATATCTGATCTCTCCATCCTGCAACCTGCCTCATCAGAGACGTGTTACGCTCCACAGCGTCTGTGAGGAATAAACAACCAGGCATTCATGCATCACGATGCTGCTCGTTGTTATTATATCGTCTCATGTTCTGAAACTGCCTAGAACCCACTACATCTTACTTTCACACCAATCAGTGGGAATTAACAAACCTACCGAGTTAGGGCAGATCAGAACTTGCCACAGATATTGCCGCTAACTGTATACACTGATAGGATTCACAACCCAGAACATTTTTGCTACACACATTCGCATACACTATACGAAAATACGTTGTTGCCTCTTTCGCAGTGGCTGGAGGTACGGTAGCCGTCGTTCGTTGAAGCCCCTTTTTGGTGTTAGGGTTAGGGTTAGGGTTAGGGTTAGGTTTAGGGTTAGGGTTCTAGCTCATCTAAACTCGCAAATCGTGAATTTATTTCCCAAGGCGTTATTTCGAAATCTGGCGCCACCGCCGCCATCTTTGTCTCGTTAAGTATGAAAGCGAATGGACTCGCGTACCCGTAGCCTCGAGACATTAAGATACGTCTACCGTACCCGTAGCTGTCGTACCCAAACTTGGAATCTGCACAATCTCGAGATTGTGCAATGATTGTGCTGCCCAAACTGCGGATTCCCTAGTTTGGCTGACTAATCTCAAGATTGGGCAAACTGAAAACAGTCGGTGATTCAACAACCGCTCATAGCGAGTGTGTGGTGTGCGTGGTGCAAACTATAGGAAGAAATTTATCTCATATTTATCCAATTATTTATTATAATCATTTAATATTTATACAAAGGTGCTAACAACATTGAGGAAAGAAGGTATACGACCTTATAATTATATAGTTAGGATATAACATTTGAAATCCTAATAATCATATGTTTGTGCAAGCTCTGTTTACCTCTGTTTGCCCAATCTCAAGATTGGTTGCCCAAACTGCGGATGCGCTGAAATTCCAAGTTTGTGTAAGATTCCAAGTTTGCGCACAACATAGCCACTGCCTTTATCTTTACTGCATTATAATGACTGCATACAATTTAAAAACACAAGCACATGTACTGAACGTACTGAGACATTATCATCATAATTATTAACAACAACAACAACAACAACAACAACAACAACAACAACAACAACAACAACAACAACAACAACAACAACAACAACAACAACAACAACGACGACGACGGTGACAACACCATCACCACCATCACCACCACCACCATCACCAACAACAACAACAACAACAACAACAACAACAACAACAACAACAACAACAACAACAACAACAACAACAACAACAACAACAGCAGCGACTGGATCACCTTTCAGGAGCTTGTTTTCTTGAATTACTTGCACAAGTCGTTGTTGCAGCTCGGGCGCGGACAGCGACGACGTTATAGAAAAGAGTGACGAAGTGTCGTCGAAATTGACAAACGACTGCCCCTCACTAGACATGTTCCGTGGGTTGGAAAGAACAGATATATCCGACGACAAACACTGCGATGTTATAGAGTTGTCGATGATGGGACCACCTTCCGCTACCATGCTGCCACCACCGTGTGATTGTCCAGTTTGATTCTCTAATGTACTATCAGCCATGGTTTATTGTGGTAATAACGGAATAGATGATATAATACAACCTACACGACGTCCATGATTTTATGTTTGATGTCGGCGCACTATCAGCGGATCGCAAGTTACGGTAAAAATGTTGAGAGCAAGGTTGAGAGTCCGCTGACATCCAGATAAACCAGGCGATAAATACGTAGTTACTTATATTCCAGAACAAAAGTAATTAACATATAAAGGCTGCATCAAAGAACAAAAATATCCTATTATCTAAAATGTCTATGATTAAATCGTCTTTTTTATACCTATAGGTAACAAACCGATATACAATACTGTATGTTTGCTTTATCGGTTACATGCGTACGATTGACGTAGCCGCTAGCGAAGAACTGAGAGTTACACCTCCTTTGCTATATGTCATGTGTATTTTGAGTATGCATACTGCTCAAATCTGACCAAACTGCATCGAGCGCAAAGTTATGGACAGTGCAACAGTAGATCTACACAGTAGATACCAGAAACTAGCCTCAGAGTATTCCAAGGTAATCAATCCATTTGCCTCCGGCTTCGAAAGTGCCAAAAAACAAAAGGCAAAGTGACAGTCACGTTTTGCCAACACGTTTGATACAACTACAACTTTACAAGTACAAGCATAACTCTAGTAGTACTAGTAGCCCGCGTACACTGTACGCGTATGCATGTATTTTGTTGGCCCATCTGACGTAGTCAGATGCAGCTTGTAGAATCGCATGATCGTCCGTCCGTGCGTCCGTGCGTCCGTCAACAGTTGGGCACGAATCTAAACGGCTCGACGTACGGATTCGAAAGTCGGGATGTGTGTGTGTGTTGTGCTGGGGGGCGGGGTTAATCCGAAAACGAGTTTGGATGTCGACGCTGGGGGTCAACGGTCAAAGGTCAAGAGGTGTAAAAGAAGGGGGAACATTCCCTCCTTAACTTAAGGTATAGGGAGGAAATGCAGAATTGCGGAACAAATCTAAACGGCTCGACCTAAGCTCGTGATAGTCGGTGTATAGCATCATGGTTGGAAAATCCATCACTGTGCCGAAATTGGAGGTCACAGGTCAATGGGGCACAGGGCAGATTTTAGACATTTTCTGAGGACATGGTCTGACGGAGCGATTGAAAAACTTTTTCTTTCAGCGATGACCTAGCTACCATTTTTATGGCTTTATTGAAAGGACCATGAAATTTACTTTCCGCTGACATGCGAAGAGTAAGTGTCGGATAACCTTTTGACCCTCAAGAGGAGGTTAAACATTGATTTGTGTCACAATGCACCATAAAACAGGAGTTTCAGGCACTGGCAGCAGATCAAGCCCGCACGTACAGCACACACGCGGCGCCATTGACTATATATACAACATGGTGTCGAACTCGGTTAAGCGCATTCTGGCGCGGGCCGATTGTCAAAATTGCGCGGGTGTATATTTTTAAGCAATGTTCCGCAATTTCAACTATAGTTGGAAAGTGGCGTCACCTGCAGGAACACCGGAGTTGTAACTGATTTAAAACGGTGAGTTGTGGAAACTGCGGCCGGCGACTGCCGGCGAGTTCGACACCATGTTGTTATATAGTAGTCAATGGCGCCGCTGTGTGTGTGCTGTACGTGCGGGTCTTGGTCTGCTGCCAGTGGTTTCAGGCACTCGATTTGTATCAACCAATGGGATTTGGGAGGTATGCAGAATGCAAAGGTTGCTGAAATGATGTGTACGCAAACTGTGTATCTGCATATCTGCGCCTAACAAAGGGGTCACTACGCACGATTTAAATGTTACGTTTATAACCATAGCAACAGACCTCAGATGAGCCAGACGCTCTGCGGCTCTTGTTTCATAATTCGATTTTTTGTTTCATGGTTGATTTTATCACATATAACATTCACGGATCAAATGCTTCGATTCAAGGATAGAATGCTTCGATTACCAGATCGAATGATTCGATTCACAGATCGAATGATTCGATTCACAGATCGAATGATTCGATTGTGAATCGAATGATTCGCATCCGTTGAATCGAATAATGCGATTCAGAGTCACGAGAGTTTCACAGTTTTAGAGGGACGAGGTATATGAGGAGGGGGAGAAGGGGTTACAGGAGGAAGGACGAGAACTGGTTAGAGGACGAGGGGAGAAGGTAGTGGGGAAGTAGAGAGGGCGGAGAAGGGTGGGAGGTAGAAGAGCGTAGATAGGACGTGGGAAAGGTAGCTGAGGAGGGGAGAAGGGGGAGCGTCGAAAAGGGGACCAGGAAAGGAGGTAGAAGATAAGGGTACAGGAAGGAGGTAGTGAACGTCAGTGGAAGCATGGTGGGTGTCCCACCAGAATGGAGGGGAGGATGTCGACTTGGTGGTAGGCATATAGAGGTGGTAGGGAGGGTAGGGTAGGAAGGTGGGGTGTGCGGGTGCGGACCGGGACACAGGGTAGGGGGGAATGTGGCGGGGTGAACGGGTGAATGGTGAGAGGCCGGGTTGGAGAGAGGAGTGTCAGTGGATTGGTGCGTCGAGCCAAGGGTGGGACGGCAGGGTAGAGGAGAGCGGAGAAGGCTAAGAGAGTAGGTAGAGGATTCGGTGGGATGAAGATGCTGAGGAGCCTAGAGGGAGGCGGGAGAAGTGGTTAGAGTAAGGAGGGGGAGGAGGAGGGTTAGAAGGTGGTGGGCGAGGAGGGCGGGAGGAGGCTATGAGGAGGGAGGGAGGTAGAGGGGAGAATCGTGGTAGAGTGACGGCGCGGAGTGCGGAGTGATAGGTGAGAGGGGAGGTAGTGAGGGGGCAGAAGGTAGAAGGAGGGAGGGAGTCGAGGATGGTTTTTGGAGAAGGTGGAGGAGGTAGTTAGAGGAGAGGGAGAAGTAGAAATGAGGCGAGTTAGTAGAGGATGGTGGGAGAGACTGAGGAGCGTAGAGGAGGGCGGTAAGAAGTGTGTGGAAGAAGTCGAATGGGCGGAGGAGGAGGGTTTAGAAGGGTGTGTTGGGGTGAGAGAGGGGGGAGGAGGTAGGGGAAGGAAGTGTGGTGAGGGGAGGGTCGTGGAGTTGGGAGATGGGGAGAGAGGAGCGTAGTGGGCAGGGGGGAGAGTGGTAGAAGAGGGAGGAGGTCGAGCGTGGAGGGGGGGGGGAAAAAATTTTGGTTTTCTTCGTTGGAGGAAGGCGTGGGCAGGAGCCGTAAGGATGTGGGAGAAGACGCGAGGCGGTAGAGGAGTATAGAGGATGGGAGGTATGGAGCGGGGGAGGTTAATCAAAAGTTGGATAGACACAAAAACGAGTGTGTGCCGTATTTCGCCGGATGCGTTTGCTGTGTGGTGCTTTTGAACGATAAACATTCGTTTCAAATACTTACCCATTGTCACTCACAATATGGCTAAGAATAGATGTAACGATTATTATATTGATATCTTCTGCTAAAGACAAGAGAAATTATTAATTACTCATAATGTAAAAATGCTCCAGTTGAACTATGTGCCGTTTTGCTCAAGTTGTGATAGATGGCGCCTTGAGTCGGAACGTCGCGGTCGGCCGTATAAATTGTCAGCGCATCGTATGATTCGATTTCTGCATCGGAATCATTGATTCTTGGAATCGAATCAATTCATATTTTGCGAAAGTCGAATATATCTCGGATCTGCAAATCGAATCATTCGTCGCGTAATCGAATATTCGATCGCGAATCGAAGGCATTCGATCGCGAATCGAATCATTCGATCGCGAATCGAATCATTCGCATCCGTGAATCGAAGCATTCGATCCGTGATCGAGGCATTCGATTTCAAAACGTAATGCGTTTGATGCCGGGATCGAATTGGGTTTGATTCCTTTTCTGATATAAAATCAAATAATGTGCAACATTTTAAACAGAGCAGAATTATTGTTGATTTATTCATTATAACATATTGATTTAAACTAAGCAAATATTATATGAGATAATCAATGTTTATATGCAATAAAAATCAAATGTTATATTATGTGATAAATCAAATGTTATATATGATAAATCGATGTTATATGTGTAAATCAAATTGTTATATGCTTTGATTAAAATCACCATAAAACAAAATCGCAATTATGAAACAAAAAAGAATGCCATATTACGCTGGGGCTTTGCTACTAGAGTACTAACAGGCGCACACGCCACAAGCCCACGTTTCAGCGCTAGTCTAGCGGCGTAAGCAAACTCTTATCGTACGGTAAAATTGTGGCCCTGTTTGGTCCTGAAGTGGAGACCAGGGTGGTCCTTGGTCATGCGCTGCCGTTCAGCAAACGTTGGAGAGCTATCAGCAGTGGGGAAGTTTTCGGCTATCACTTTGAGAAAACAGTTGTTAAATGTTATTTATCACTACGGAAAACATACTGTGGTATATGTTCAAATTTTTTCCAGTTAATTCTATGAAGTTGTGTCAAGCGTCACAGCCCACCATTCAATACTCACCACCCGCGGCACCATGCATTGGGTATCTCAGAAGCACATGGACGTCAGGCTCACAAAAATCTCGCAAAACACACTCATCTGTGATTGCAATCGACATTACTACTAATTATAGACAGGCTTTTTTGTAATTTTGGGTCAACCCAGTTCTACTTTGCTAATAGAAGCATTTTTTTCAAGTGTGAGTTTGCGCTATGTCGTTGAAATCTAGCATATTGGTCTGTTATAGCAAACTTTAGTCTAATCCTAATATAATCCTAAGTAATTCAGGGCCCGTAGAAGGGGGGTTGCGGGGGTTCGCTACGAACACCCCCCCCTCAAGGCCCGCCCAGGCAAACAAAAAATATAATATTGCAAGAAATTTCAGCCTCAGGTATGCACCAGATCACTCCATTTTAGTGTAATAATTGCGCAAAATCTCATCGTGTGGGCAGGCGGGACACCCCATCCAAGCACCTCACCCCTGCTCGGTCGCATACTGCTCCTCGCTCGGTCGCTTCAGTGCCTCACAATCTTCCAACATTTAAATAACGACCCCCCCCCGCCAATATAAAGGCTGGCCCTAACGGACCTGAGAATTAAACATATCATATTAATAATGATTGGATATTCATCGATTCACATTTATAGCTGCGGGCTCAAAGCGTTTTTCCTGTACTGATCAGAAAGTTGTCGGGCTAGATGAACAGTCAAAAGAAGCCAAGCTAAAGGTAAGTTATTATATACTAGTACTGTCAAATTTGATAAAAAAAACACAACGCAGAAACGTCTGTCGTACACCATGCCTTAGAGTTACCTGACATGGTCAGCGTTGCGAGCTAGGTAGAATGGAAAATGAACTTATGCCATCCATTGTTGTCAGTTAGTTTCACAAAACTTGAATTCCAATATTTTCGAAAATCACCACTAGGTGGCAGAGAATAAGCAGCCACTGGTTGCATTAGGAATATCTTGAAATATATTATCATGAATACCGAATTTTTGTTATTGTTATGTTATCTGGTTTCTGCTGTAACGCAAGTATAGCAGATGCAGGCCCTTGACACTAACTCGGTCTGTCGATTGTGCCGCGGAAAGTGAAAGTCTACGTCGAAACAAATTATTCTCTGGCTTATGTTGCCCGATCGGACAACTAAAAAATGTCCAGCTGTGTAAATTCCTAGCATCCTTTGAGCCAGGTGCGCTATCGGCATGACGCATTTCTAACACTTGTACTTCTTTCGAAAGTCGAGCAAAAGAAGCGCGCCGCACCGCGTGTCTGTCGGCTGTGCACGACTCGTGCGCTGTGTACATCGCCTGCTTGGCTGGAAGGCATTGATTGAAAGTAACGGGGGGTGGGGGGTATAGCTGCTAGCCGATTGTTTCAGTCCCGTGGGACGTTTCTTACTGAATATGTACGGGGGTGGGCAGCCCTGGTATGAGAGAGCGACAGCAAACTCCTTTCCTGGAATTGAGAAAAAGCTGCGCAATCACGCTCGCAAAAATAAGACGTTGTGTAATTTCATTACGATTTTCCATAATTATATTACTGTAAATATGATTACCACTGAACTAAAAAATTGTACCTTAACGGCTCTAGATTGCAAGTAAATTTTTGACAAGTTAAAACCAGAGTAAAATTGCCTTTTCTGTTGCTTGACAGGGAGCAACCAGATCTGAAAATAAGCACGAGGCCTGAGCATGCATAATATACTTCCAATTCAGATTAGCTTAAACATGCCAACATTTCTGCATTACTGGGGCAAATATGCATTTACAATACACAATGCCTTAAACAGGGTTATCAAGATTGAGCAGTTTAACTTGCCTAAACACCAAGTAAGACTAGGCTCAACTGATCAAAATTGTATATATATATTTACTGCACTGGGCTGCTCATTAGGTTCTCCACTACCAGTTGCAGTATGATCATGCAAGTTTATAGTATATATATATATATTTATATTATATATATTTTACTTTATGCTTTTATGCTTTAGAAAACATTGTCAAGGAGAAAGATCAGGCCTATACGAAAGTTTTCCAACCAAGAGATGAGAGTTCGATGTTCGAAATGCCTCATGCTGACGTAAACGTGTCCACTCTCCTCCAGGGTGAGCTTGTGATGACCATGTTGGCTCGCCAAACGGAATAAGGTGAACATGACTGCCTCCATATTGCTTAGTTTAGTTCGCGATTTAATCCAAGTTACATTTTGAGTTCGCCACATTCGTGCAATTTACATTAAAGGTGGCACTGCCGGCATTGTATGATTGGAATTTCAACTTGGGATTTTGTTGTGGAATTACATATACTTTGGTTCAGTGAAATAATACTTGTACATTTATGTTAACTTAGATAACAGATTCACTCTTAGATTTTGGTTTCTGTTGGGGACAATAAGACTGCAGAGACTTCAGACTTTTTCTATTCGAATCATGCTTTTGCTGCGTAAGAGCTAGCTGAACTTTGTTGATCTATACCATTGAGAAAAATTATGCGACAGACGTCCTGAATGAACTTCTTTATATGGCAAGGACTGAGTAAGAAAATGATGTGCGTCTTTCTCATACATGTTGTATGACATGTGTATGTAGTTAAGGTCGTGTGCTGAGCCTCATTCCGCACGCAGTACTGCCTGCGAATATAATGCTAACACTAAGCAGGTGAGTGTTAACGGTGTGATAGTTACCTGTCACTACATGTATGCGCATGGAGAACATGAGTCTCCTAGTTGTATAGACACAGACTAGATAAAATAAACACCAACCCCTAGTAGGACAATTTTGTCTGGCGACGAATTAGTTAGGATAATACCCCCAAAAACAGATTTCTGTCATTGTCTACGTCTGCAAACTGGTCTACTAGTGTCACCTGCAGATGGTATTACGTGTTATTTAAATTTGCTAAAATTATTGAATTGACTGATCTGTGTGCCAGAACAGACAATGGGCAAGCGGCACAGTCTCCAGTTGTCCTGTGCCAACTGCACGACTAGAAACAACGCAGTGGTCCTGTTCCGTGGAGGCACACCATAGCAGAGTAATGATCGATTGAGAACGCCAGCTGCACCGGAGGTAATGGACTAGGTAGGCATGGTTTTTAGTCTCAGTCTGACTGATAGTCAGATGCAGCTTCGTAGAGCTCGTGCTCGTAGAAGGATGATCGTCCCGTCCGTCCGTCCTGGTCCGTTACTAGCGATGGCCGGCGTCCTGGTGCCGCCGTCAAACGAGTGTGTCGCCTGGCCACACATAATCTACAAATCGGTGGTGCTCGAGTACTGGTCTACGATATATTCGGTGATCGTGGGGGAGGGTAATCCGAAAGACCGCTGTTCGGCCGATGGTCGAAGTGTGGTCAAAGGTCATAGCGGTTGTTAAAAGAAGCGCGGCGAACATTCACTGCCTTTACTTTAACGGGGGGTTCTATACGCGGATCAGGGAATGCGGTAATTGCGGCACAAATCTAAAGGCTCGGACCTAAGGCTTCGTGATTAGTTCGGTTGTATGAGGATCATGGTACGGCCATCACTGAAATGCCGAAATTGGACGGTTCACAGAGTCAAAAGGTCAATGGGCCACAGGGCAGATTTTGACATTTTCTGAGGACATTGGTCTGACGGACGCGATTGAAAAATTTTTTGTTTCGAGCGGGCTGACTAGCCATTTTTATGGCATTATTTTTTTGAAAGGACATGAAGTCTACTTCTCTGCCGTGACATGCGTAAGAGTAAGTGTCAGATAACCTTTTTGACCCTTCAAGCAGGAGGTCGTTTAAACATGGATTTTTGACTGTCATGTTAGAAAGAATTTGACTGCCGGTTGCTAGTAGATCGTATACATGCCTGGATGTCATATGGCTACAATGTCACAGTTTGAAATTCAAAGCTCAAATTTGGTATAAGATTGTTTATGCTCCTTTAAATCGTATAATTTATATGGCGATTCTGTAGTGTCATGTATTTTACATGTAACGGTATTCTGGCTCACTGCCGTGGCTGTGACTAGACCAGTGACAGGTGGTGTTGGTACTGTGATGAGTTTTTGCCCTTATTGGTTACATGGTGCAGCTTCATCTAGATTGGCGCAGCCTGTAAGGCTTGCGTAGGTAAATGGATGAGCTGGTTACCCACCACTTAGCCTATTCTGTCTTGCAGATAGTTGTTGCCCTACTACGTATGATGTGCGAGCTTCCATCTTTAATCTGAAGACCACTTAAACGTTACGCTCCATTCTCGTGGAACCTTTCATAACGATCCCAACGAACATTCTTTTGAGGAGGTTCCTGATACCATCCCTGCTGCATTCCACTTGTTTCGCGCGCCGTGTATCGTGAACGATTTGGGACTAAGCAGGGTTTTACTAGATCCACCACTCCACCACAGAGTTCACCGCCAGTAGACGTTAGATGAGCGCTGTCGCTCTGCGGCACTTGTTTAGAATGTCATCACAGCTTGGTGATTGAATGATTGAATGATTCAATTCAAATGTCCAGCTTCATAGGGATGTAATGGACTAGGCATGGTCTTTTAGAATGTCTTATCACAGTTTTGTGATTGAATGACTCAATGATTCAATTCAAATGTCCAGCTTCAAAAGGAGGTAATGGACTAGCCATCATCTTTTAGAACCCCTTATCACAGCTTGGTGATTCAATGATTCATTCTTGATTCAGTGATTGGCTAAAGCATCCATGAGTCATGCTAGATGTGTGTATATTTTTTATCTACTGCGCATCTTTGACCTATGTAAATAAGGAGCTAATACGTGTCATGCAGTTGTACGAGAAAGAAGCAGTATACAAGAAGACTGTGATGGAGCTTCGTGATCGGATTGCTAACCTAGAACACCACACGGCACAGCACGATAGTGTTGTCAGGACGACCGACATAAAGCATCGAAGTCTGGTGGATAAGCTGCAGCAAGATAAAGCAATCCTAGAGGTGTGCATTATGACATAATTTATGTAGCAAAAGTATTTGCAATTTGTAGAACTTGTACGTTCCCAAATTCTTGCTTACAGAAGTAGTTTTTTTAATCATTACTCATTTATTGCTGACAATTAATGCCACAGCTTGGCAAAGCATGTATTGTAATCCTTGCAAACAATTCAAGTCTTTGGTTGTTGTTTTTATAGCATCCAAATCTTGCTGATTTTCTTTTAAAATAATATGAATTAATGATTGCCAAAATGTTTTTAATTATGTGTTACACATTTATTTGAATTTCCTACTCAGTGTTTTATTATTGTGTTTTTGCTAGGTTAAATTGCAGAAAAGTGAAAAGGAAACTCATCATGCAAAGCTGGAAGCCTCTACAAGGTATTTTTGTGCTTGGCTTTTCAAAATACTAAACAATCATCAATGTTTTAATTTAATCAAATACAACGTACACCATGAATGAAAAATGTGTGCAGTTTTATATTGTAAAAATTGTCACAAGCAATTATATTACAATGTACTGATGTAGGTAAATATTAAACAGTTTACACATTTACGAGTTTCTACATTATATGTATATCTCCATGTTATTCATTATAATCAAGAGAATGATATAGGTGCACGTTACCTCAACCAAATAGTTGTTGCTTTAGTGCAGTGCTCCTTAAACTATTTCAGTGTCATTTACCCTCGAGTCTTTATCACAAAATTTCATTCACCCATGACTAAATTTTCTTATGTTTTCAGTATGATTCATTCACCCCAAAATAATTTTATTCACCCTTGGGTGAACCATTTACCAGTTTAAGAAGCGCTGCTTTATTATATATACATTTCATATACATTAATAAAAGTGTGGCATCTATTCCTGTTGCAGCGAGGAACAACTGAGGACTGTGCATGGGGAGTTGAGTACTTCTCTGCAGGCAGCCACACATATCATACAGGAGAAACTTCCATTCAATGACAGTAGTAAGCATCCTGCACTATTCTTCACTAGTGTATGTCACTATAAGGTTTGTCTGAGAAAATTCCTATGATAGATGGTCTAAACGGAATCTCTCGCTATATTCTTCATTGATATCCCATATTACAAAACAGTTATGTCATTAGTTGTGTAGCCAGGTAATGAATTAGACATGTATGAGGAAATTTACAACTGGCAGACTCTAGATATCAATTTTGTGTACATTTCAAACATGTGCATACATTGAGTAGTAGTAGTAGTAGTAGTAGTAGCTCTATATCTTTAGTACCTGAAGTATAATATCAAGAGCGTATAAAGAGAGAGCGTAGAAGGAGAAGGCGTACAACGGTAAAATGCTGAAACCATGTTGCAGTATTAGTCGAATTAATAAACTTTCCCCGTTTTATTTTGACGATTCTTTGCAGTATTATTGATCAGCTGTCCTACCTTGTTAATATAAAACAAACCGCATGTTCCTACGATGCCCCTATGCTGAGATAATGAGCGGTGAAAATCTGGTATTTTCGCCGAACACCGACTCAACATTAGTCAGTACTGCGACCGACTTAATTCGACTAATACTGCAACATGGTTTCAGCATTTTACCGTTGTACGCTCTCCTTCTTTATACGCTCTTGATATTATATCACAAACAAGTCGCAATATGTGGGTGGGAATGCACCGTATAAATCATTAAATCTGTATCTACAACTCATTCTTATTTCCTCCTGATTAGGAACCAGCAATTAAAATTCAACCAGTGAAAAACAACAATGTACTGCTGATCTAATGTTATTTATCCATATTTTATCTTTATTAATCCTGTTTCTAATCTTGTCAGAGGTCATCGAGCTGTCAGCTGTAAATGTGATGCCGTACAACCGACTCCAGCAAGATAAGCTGCAGGAGCTTGTCGCACAACTAGCCAGCTTAGTGAAAGAGTTTTCGTCGACCTTCTCCAACTACCACACTTACACGGAACAGCGTTGCCAAATATACCCAATAGATGGCAGCACTGAGCACATGAGCAATGTTAATGTACAGGTAATAATAATGGATTTTTCTGTCAAATTCTTTAAATTCGCTCATAGGTCAAGATTGTTATTGAGTGATTAGTTAATTTATTGGTTTGCCAAGTATCGCAGCTATGTAATTAATATTCCTTTTTTGGATTTATAGTGGAGCTACATGTTATTTTACAGTTTCCAACAGTTCTTAATATATAGTTCCTTCTGTGGATTGCATTGCAGTTACTCTAATTAATATATAAGTTATAGTTATGATAAGTTAACAATCCAAAGGAATCCTAAATATTTCATGATGATATACTAATAGGAAAATACTTCGGAAAATTACGATAAATATGTATACGTACTTCTTTCAGCTTTGCAAATTCTTACATGAAAACAGCCAGTACCTTCGAGCTGTTGAACTCTCCTTCAGGAGTTTTCAGGAGACAGTGAGAGATGACACAATGACAACGCTAGTGAGTTTAATGTCAGAGTCCGTTAATCGACTCTTTCGTACGCAAATTGCAACTTTGTTCTTTGATTAAATTTTCTGTACGTGCTGTCCATAATCATGTCATTATTACTGGTTTTTGCAGGATACTGCATCAGGCTTAAAAACATTTGCAAGTAGTTTCCATGAATATGTGACATATCATGAAAAATTACTACCTTACCAGCTACTGAGGTACACACAATATTTTTTATAATAAATCCTACTACAATTGAAATCCTGTGGCCGTATGAATTCATGGTTTCGATGTAATATCTTGTGCCTGTTTTTAAATTGATATGTTATATGTACTGAAATTATTAGTGTTGCATTTCTAAAGATGGTTAATATATAAGGTATAAGCAAGAGCTCATAATAGAGAAGAGTATGACACCGTTTTAACAGCGTTTTGCATAGTTTTCAACTTGTAAATATTCTATCAATAAGTGAATAAATATATTCAAACTTTACCTTGTTTTCGTCTATGATTCTCCCTTAATCATATGACACCACTAATTTACCTGAAAATCGTATGTGTTCTTCAAAAAAGTGGGGCTGTTGGGGATATTGGGCATCGAATTGTATTCAGCGTGTAGCGTTTCCAGCGTGCTAGAAATAAATGTGTGCTCACGGCGAGCTAGCAGCTGATTTTAGCTGTGTTACCATCGTGTTCCTGATGATAAGGAAGCGAAACAAGTGCTGCTACTGTGCTTACCTAATATCCCCAACAGCCCCCAGCGTCCCGTAGTTACAACCTGGTGCTGCCGCCGCATATCAACATGCGCCGAACAGATGCGACCATTTGGGAAAACTGTGAAACCGTTTCGTATTCAAAGAACATTTTTGATCACATACGATTTTCAGGTAAATTGGTGGTGTCATATGATTAAGGGAGAATCATAGGCGAAAACAAGGTAAAGTTTGAATATATTTATTCACATATTGATAGAATATTTACAAGTTGAAAACTATGCAAAACGCTGTTAAAACGGTGTCATACTCTTCTCTATTATGAGCTCTTGGTATAAGTTATAGCTGCAAGATAGTTAACAAATGTAGAAAAGTAACATGAATATTGAAATTTAACTGCAATACCTATGAGGTGTATCTTGCGCTGAGTCTGTTTATGCCATTCCCCAGTATTGAAGAGGAGAGCAAAGCTTCTACCTGCACTAAGGCCCTGAAGGAGAAGAATTCTGAGCTGCATAATGCCGTGGCTAAACTGCTGACAGCACTGACACGCGTCGACTCTTGCCTAGCTCTTTTAGGTCACCAGAGTATGTACACACTTGCTACGTTTTACTGGACTGACATTCCAAATCTGCAAGTTGAGTAAGAAAGATATATGAGCACGTGTAATTACATATAGGTTCAATTAATGGCCCTGGCAACTAACACAACATTATACATATTGTGTTTTGATTCCAGCACTATTCTGTTCTAATTAAACTATGTTATGGGAAAAAATGATGACAAAGAAAACATCATTGATTACCTTCTCCATTTAAATGGCATTGTTTACTTTGGGTATGTGATGAGGAAATGTGTAGTGAAACAATAATAAAATGAGGTATGTGATATAATTTCTGTAAACGGGTTCCGATTGGTAGGTGAGCAGTCATGTGATTTTGTGCGAGCGAATCAGCCTCGGATGCTGGAGCAACTTGCTCTGACTGTGCAAGACTTAAATGACAAGGTGAAGGGTAAGTCATTAATCCTTTCTGCGCTTGCACAATTGCAGTATAACTTTATTTGTCTACACTGAATGCACCAGTGAGTGTAGTGGTATATTCCTTAACTACCATACCTGCTGTGGCATGACACATGTATTGCGTTGCTAACATTTCAGATCTGTCGAAAGTTTACAAGTCAAAAATTCTGCTAGAGCATCAGCTACCAACTGCAAGCAAGAAGTTGAGAACTACAAATGAATGTCTTGTCTCTTCACTAATCTCACTCGTAACATGCACTGGGAAGGTATGTATGCACCCCTGTGTGCGTGCAAGCGTGAGTGAGTGAGTGAGTGAGTGAGTGAGTGAGTGAGTGAGTGAGTGAGTGAGTGAGTGAGTGAGTGAGTGAGTGAGTGAGTGCGTGCGTGCGTGCGTTAGTTTGTTTGTGGATATTCATGTGCGTATTTTGTGTTGTAGCTTACAGTTTGATAGAGCATAGCTATCCCCTAAAAGTAGATGTATTTGATTGATAATGTGCTATTCCAAGTAAGGTACTAGCCAAATACTTATGTTTGTATTTTAATCCACGTATTGTATGAAATGTATGTATGAAAAGAATGTATGAATAATATATATCTGGATAATTGGTGCCAGTATAATGGTGCATATTTGAATGATTGCAGTCAATTCAAAATAACAGCTGAACAGGTATTTCCTAAGAGGTGCATAGATGTGCATTCTAACAAAATGACTGCAGACAAACTTGTTTGCGAGTCCACTAGGTTCCGGATGCATTCTCCTCACCTTGTGGAAACTACATTTTGTTGCTTCCAGATCTCAACATTTCTGGCCTCGAATCTGGTATTTCTAAAGAGCACGATTCCACGAGATGGTCATAGAGCTTTACCAATAGGTGGCGCTCTGCGACAGCAGGCTGCTGAGTACATGAAACTGCTCAATAGGGTATATAAATATTGACTATAACATTCATATACATCTTCATTTACAGACCTACTCAATATAAATATATACTTATAGGTATATTCGAAGACGCATGCGTACCTAACAAGCATTTTTCACTCACGCTTAAGTCAGTAGTGTGAGGGAATGAGACACTGGTCTCAGACGAGAATGATTGAAGCATGTACATGTTGGCTTATGTGAGACGTCTGTTACAGCCTGTTCGGGAGAGCATTCCCTACGAGACGGCAGTGAGTAACAGCAGGACACTACAGAGCTGCTCAGAGAGCAGGGAGAATCTTTCTCAACAGGCGAGTTTAGTGCTTATAGTATGTGCATGCTGTGTGTGCGCATATGGTGCGACACTAATTTCCAGTGCAATTTCAAATATTCGGTGTGAAATCTCAACTAGTTAACAAATCAACTGACGAGAACGAGTAAATGATTCCCTCGGTACGACAGGTCACGTATTTGACGGAGAGAATCAGCAAGCTGGAACAGGAGAAGGAGCATTGGATGCTGGAGGCAAAACTGCTGCAGATTCGCTTGGAGAAGATGATATCAGATGCTCCAAATTTTGTGCAGCCAGCCAGTGACACAGCCCAGCAGCAGCACCAGCAGAAAGATAACAACACAGATGTACGTCAGTTGATTTCATTGTGTAGAAAACTCGAGGAATATTAATGAATCAGCCGATTGGAGGAATACATTTACAGTCGTTGAACAAATTTGTGTCAATATTAAAGAAGTAATACATATAATAATAATTAGTCATAATAGCTGTTAGTAAGTATTCTGCATCTATTGAGCTCTCTATTAACTGATTTCCGTTATATATTACTCGTATTTCTAACAACTAATAAATAATAGCTAATACATAACTTGCTCATCTTTCCTCCTTGACATCGTAGCTGTTCACTGAACTACCCCATTCCTAGTCTCATCTCATTTTCTGACTGTCCCCTTTTCATTCCTTGTTTCTAATTCACTTGGCTGATTTCTATCATTCAAACTTTTTATTCCTTCATTATTTTTTGCTCGTTTCAGGTTGCTAGTTCATCCAGTGATTACCACATGAGGGAGACGCTCATTCGTACGCATTTCAATGATAGGATATCAGCCATATCACAAGACCTTCAGCTTGCTGACAGTAAAAGTGTATTGTTTCATGCAGAGGTATTGACACACAGTTATCTTGTGTATGCTCATTTACATTCGGCATGAACTTTGGGCATTTAATATTGGATTTTTTATTAATTTACATTTGAATTTTGGGTCTGATGTTCTATCAATCTGTCAACATTTAATGCACACGCATGCGGGTACGCATCCACACAGACATATTGGTTAATGAGTCCATTTCACAACTGCTACAATTATATGTAAGCATAGATTAATTGTAGGACATTCTCGTAATTTTATTGCATATTTGGTGAACGTAGTTGTGATACGAGTCACTATTGTGTTCTAGCTGAAAACTTTGCACCGGCGACTGCAGCTTGCGGAGTGTGAGAGGGACCAGCTCATAGTTCAGGTCTCTAGCCTAAAGGTACTGCACTTACACTATCACACACACTTTGTGTTCGTGCCTATACATTTACTGGTTGTCAGTAATTACCTCCATGGCATTACCTCCATGGCGGGGGTTATGTTTTCACCGGCGAGTTTTTGAGTGTTGGTTTGTGTGTTTGTGTGTTACCATGCACGTTTCAGTTCACTTCCGCTAGGTGCGCTGGCTGTAGACTTACAAACACGCAACCACAGGCTAAGGGGCAACCACAGTCCTCCCCCACCTGCACGCTCGCACTAATCCGGATCCAATTAATTATTTAATTAATTAATTAATTTTTCCACTTAATTAATTAATTAATAAAAAATTTCACATTGAGAGAATTCAGCTGCCTTGCCGGAGGTCTGTGCTCTCCGAGTGCTCTAGTTCTAGTTTAAAATTAGATCTCTTCCTTGAAAATTTATCCCATTTTTTTCGTCTGGATTCGTGATTTTGTCAGTGTTAGTGAACGTGCACAAGAGTTTACACTATGATTAGTTCAGGAGTGTAATATAGAATATATTTATAGACGTATTATATCTATATTATACATTCCTCTGAATGGTTGACGCGCAGGATGAGCTGCAGACCACAACGAAGAATTACGAGGGGCAGTTGAGTATGATGAGTGATCATCTGTGTACAATGAACGACAAACTAACCCAGCAGACGGACACGATCACGGAACTAAATGAACTGCTACATAGCAAGGTAAGTCTGTAACTAATCTGTCGTAATGTCATTCTTTCATGTTTTCCTTAGACGTGAAAATGTGAATAGTTGAGAATGTGAAAAAGTTATTTAGAAATTGTGTGTAGACGATATTTCGATTCTATGCGCGTCTTTTGTCACTTTCTCAGCAATCTAGGAAGTTACAACTGCGGGGGAAGTAGCACAGATTTCGACACATGCTAAGCAAGTACCACTGTGGATACACCTTTCACTCACAAACCTGTTAAATATGTAGTATGTGTATATCTCGTAACTGCACTTCGTAACCAGGAAAATGATCATTTGTGTGTATATAAAGCTGTGTTCCTGACCTACTGTCACAGTTGATGTTATTAATTGATTGTGTTGAATAACTTGCATCTGTCTAACATATATAGACACAGAAAATTGAAGATTGCAGTTGACAATGCCAATGTGGGCAGTGGTAGAATTAAGTTACATTAACACGTCTGCTATTATATAGCCCTTGGCCCCGATTAGCCTTGTAAAAGTGGCCAAACCAACATGCCAGGTTTGTTAATCATCGTTTCCAAAATAATTCAACAATTTGTAAAATTCTATACCTGTAACAGGATCAAATTAATTGTTAGGTTATTGTTAACTCATGGTGAGTAAATGAAAGGGCCAGATTATTAAATAATGACAAATTGTTCATAGATTGCCTGAATCAGTTTGTCTGATCATGTACTGAACTTAGAATGTATTATAAATAAAGACATGCTTATATCCATAGGCTGTCTTTTATATTGATATTTATATATATCGAATAATTAGTTTCAACTTAATATATTTTGTTATTGGTTTGCTTATTCACAGTATTTGACCAAAAGCTGCAGTTAGTAAGCTTCTCGTGAAATACATAGATTATCATGAATTTATATTTTTACAGGCGTACTATAAACCTCCATGACAATTAGATGTATTATTCTACGTTCTAATGCTTCAGCTCAGATTAAAAAATGTCTGCTTTGTTTGCGTTTGTGTATAGTGGCGTAACTATGGCGATCACAATATGTTTTATTGCTCCATTCCTATGTGTTGCTGACCCTGCAAATGACGTGTTATGGTCTTTTAATGATCCAATAATTAGGTACCCGATATTCATGGAGGTGATGATATTTCGTGCGCGTGTTGCGTGCTCATGCTAGGCATTGAGAGGTAGATTTATTGTACTTAGCCAAGATGGCAACAACGTGTGATGTTAAAGTTCTTTTAGACAAATAAAAGAGACCTCAACAACGGTTGCAAAAACCTAGAAGACCATGTTTTGTACTGATTTTTGAATCTCCAATCGACTAAATGCTTTGCACGTAGCGACGTCCTCTTCTTTACAACTAGCCTCAGGAGAGGTTCACAGTGGTTTGACAACTGTTATTGCAGTCAAGAAAATTCTACGATTATATACATAAAAAGATACATGTATACCATGCAATTACCTTATGCAATGTAATGTAATGCAATGTAAACAGTAATCTTAACTATCAGCGTAAACCGTCGATCTGTAAATGAATTACACATAAGAGAAATAGGTTCTCATATCATAATCATGTGGAATGTTCTAAAGTAATATATTATACAACAGTGAGAATACATGGGATCACTCTGACAATGATACGATCGACCCAAAACATCACGTTTTAAAAACACATGCTTGTGCACTGTACCCTGCAAACAATCTACCTTTAACTTTGCAGCTACCACTGGAATACAATTGAAACGTACAAATTGGGAAAAATCACAACAATCAACACAAATGTTGAAAAAACAACATACCACAACATAACAAAAAAATCAATTTAAATATCTACGATAAGTGAACAACAGTAATTACAATTTATGCCTAAATATACAGATAACTTCTTATATTATAAATAGTTTACAAAGCAGTGGAATGCATGTGGATTTCTCAGCTCAGCATTCATGGACTATACCGAGCCTTGTTATGGCTACCAAGAATTCATTCAACAAGGGAATGATTACCTTTCAAACCCTGCTGATGCGAATTGCAGGGCTTGAGAACAACATCATAAAATTGCCACCACGGTTGTTATGCTATTGTAACCCATTTGTTATACTTCCAAACAAAATGTTTTTGTTGGCAACAAAATTCCATTATCTCAAACGTGGCCTACAAAGGAAGGTAAAGAATTTCTAAAAGAAATTTAAAGAAACTTCTTTAAGAAAGTGTTGGCACACTAACCATATTTAAGTTTCTATTCTCAAGCTGAGGCTGACCTGTAGTATAGCTCTGTCTATTGTTTATATTAGTTTCTATATATTGTTACGTTATCAACTGGATAAATACAATACAATACACCTGCTGTGGTGGAATCTCATGAAGCTTTGCTAACCCCTAGAATTCGTATCCAACAGGTATATCAATAATAACAACTCTCTTGTTTAATGAACTATTGCTGTTTTCTTAAACATATTACACAATAAAAGCGAGTACCTATTCCAAGCGACCATCCTATGCTGTGGATACAAGGGCTAGGGCTTGTCAAACCTTGATAAAAATGTGATTATTGTCTGTAAATTGTGTGGCAGCCCTGTTACGCACGCCCACACCAATATGAACAGACTAGTGGCATTTTATCAAGGTTTATTTTAAACGAAAATACTCCTATCAGTAGATTATAGAAGCCAGTCAGTCTTTTTACAGTTGAATGGATACATTTTAATAGTAACCATCAATGTCAACACCTTTCTCGTTTTACGGCTTTTACCACCAAATGACTGCGTATTCACACTACTCCAATTTAAAAAAATCGAAGGTGCTTCGTTCGACCCACACAGTTTACTCTTTGTATACAATCAAAGTATGATTTTGCCAAAGTGAGAGGAGTGAATTTACCTTTACCAAGGGCGTGACTTCGGTCGCTTCCCCAACAGTCCCTTCCTCACTAAAACTGTACTTGCCACGTTTCTGCCTATATCATATGACTGAGTGAAGATCACAAATAGGACCGCAATACGAATTAATGACGAGGCAGATTAAAGACACAGACATTCTACTCTAGTCCTGACTGATAGAATAGTGCTCAGCAGAATAGTGCTAATAAATCCACCATTTGGCTAATTTACGGGCTTTCAAATGACTGGAAAAGCAGTTCATGATTAGTAAATGTTTCCAAGAATTCAAGAAAAGTCTGCACAAAGCTTGAGGCCAACTATAATGGACTACAGGCTATGTGGAACGTTGGCAGACATTCACACTGAAGCTGTTTCAGCAAGGAAGTGGACAATGGTGGACAACGAGCAACAAGGTAACCCTTGAGCTGCTATTTATATCCAAAAAAATCACATTTGGCTAATCAAATACGGCTAGAGGAGAGCAACTGTGGATCTACATTTCGGTTCAAACTTCAATGATGGGAAGGAATACACTGATCTGCGAGGGTGCACTGTGAACGTACGCTTCCTGCCTATCATTGGCAGAGGGACAATATTGCAGTTAATTATGCGTAAATTTGCAAAGAAGGGTAGAAGAAGTCGTAGTGCAGTGTGCGATTGACGCCGCAAGTGAGCATGCAGCTGACAAACGTAGATTACCTCACTGCTAATCTATAAGCACAGCTTCCAACACAGCGTCTGGGAGCTCTACTGATAAAGGCAGAACACAACGATGTGTGTGCGTGTGTGTGCAAACGATGGGCATGCTATTCTGTGCAAAGCCATGCTTCCTACAGATATCCACTAAAATCACTGCGCAGAGACGAGAGCGTTAAAAGCCGAAGACGACGTGCCCATTGTTTCGCGTTACATCGCCAGTGCCGGCTCGCCATTCACTAGAAGCCTGCAGCTGGTGAGCTCAATGGGACAGCTATAGGAGGCCGTGGGATTACCGCCGTGGCTGCCTTGTTCCGCGCGGATGAGGCTAACTATGTGCGGCTTGTTCTGATAGCGCTTCTTTACTTTGCGACGCTGGTGCAGAAAGCAGAAGATAAGTGCGACAATGATAAGCACACAGACTAGTACGGCGATGCCCACGATCAGGACAAAGTTGCGCAGGTTGCTATACGGGTCCTCGTGGCCGTCTCCCGAGCTCAAGTGGGTCAGCAGTATGGCGGGCACCTCCGTCATTGGCACCCCTTCAGATGATACCACATTAGTATAACTAGGCTCCTCTGTCGGCAGTTGACTGACCAAGACAGATGGCGCCACGGATGTCGGACGAATCACCACATCTGCTGCCACCGTGGTGCTTAGTTGCCCGACCAAGACACCTGGCAGCACCTCTGTAGTCTGATGAATCACCACACCAGATGGCGCCTCTGTAGACGCATGGCTCTCCCAATCAGGCAGTGCGTCTATCTGCACCGTGGTGTCATACACATCCGACGGCACCCTCGCAGGCGGACTACTCGCTAACTCGGGGTACGCCCCCTGTGCAGTCGGGTGGCTCTGTCTCACGAACACCGATTCTGAAACAGCGAAGAACAATGAACGACGGTGAGTTCCGCGTCGCGAGCGCGAGAGAGAAAGAGCGGGATCGATCGACGAAGTTCTTGAAGAGTCGGCTCTCGTCTCATGGCACCTCCCCATTGGAGAGCAGCGGCTGGCTCTTCAGCTCCATGCAATTGCCGTTCTCGGCGGCGGCGGCTCCGCCATGCTTCTTCGTGCTCGAGTGTCGCTTTTTCAACCAACAGATCACGAACCCGATCGCACACACCACGAAAGCTGACAGCACGACTCCGATGATGATCCACTTATTGTTATTACTTGCTTTGCCAGGCTCTGAAACAGCGCGTGCAAAAATGGGAACAGCGTGGCAGGGAAAAATTTGCGGGGGAAGCGATATGTGCGTAATACGTTTGCATGCCATGCTAAATAAAAACGCATTGCCCATTGTGAAATCCATTGATCCATGTTTAATTGAAGATTATGATGTTAAATTAATGATTAATGTTAATTGAACATGCTCAAACTAAAAAGGAAAATTGAATTGATGAGTTAATTCACTCACCAATTCAAATTTATTGTGAGATTAATGACCCTGCTGCACACAATATCATACATTGCTGTCATTATAATTTCATGTATAACTTTCATTCCTATCTATATCTATATAATTCTATATTTATTTCATGAAATTATAATGACAAGTATTGAATGAAATGGTGAATAACACTGTCTTTGACCTCACAAGATGGAGTTAAACACAAAGAGTGGCAAGCCAAGCAACATAAATCGTGCTGGTGCACTTTATACGTTTATAAGGGGAGAAAAATACGTGCACGTGCAAGTCACTTCATATTACCAATAACAGGTAGGATTAATAATTTTAATTTATATGACAAATATTCAAAATGAAAAAAAGAAATATATCGCCATTGTAACCAAAACTCAGTTCCAAGAGAAATATATATTAGTAAACACAAACCTATCAAAAATACTATTTTTACAATATATGGCTCACTATTCTAATTTCCCTAAATTGTCTCCTCATCCGATTCATTGAAAAATTAACTACTGAATTACAATTTGTTACTATCAGCATAGTGTTTGTCAGGAAAGTGGCTATGTCGCACAAGAGATTTTCAGATGTGGCACATTATATGACTATTCCATAATAACTTGACTGGAGAAAATACATTTGTGTGCTTTACACGTATGCAAAGGAGAAGTCTCAACTAATTTCAATATGTTGCCTAATATTCTGACCACTTGAGACATTGCCACGTGCGTACCATGTGTGGATTGGCTCCCATCGATCAAAGTCGTTGCCAAATTCTCCACAGTACTCGCTTCAGTGTCATACTTTAAAACGACTGTAAAGCAAAATAGGTTACTTGACAGGGTCCCTAGAACCTCCACTCTCAATGTCTACTCAACTTATGATAGATATTGCAAATTCCTCTGGTTAAACGTATGGAATATTATAGAAATTAAAAACAAAACATGCAAGAATAAAATGTGTGAGACCTATACCGTAAACATGTTAGACAACATCATGATATGAGCACTTTGACCTTGAATAACAGAAGCTTTTTTGTAAGTGATTATTGGCTCTCACACTGGTAAATGTGAGGGGCGATCAATCATCATTGTGGTAACCTAGTAACCTACACGTAGTTACTTATAAGTTATAACCTACAGGTATATATATGAGTTTAGACCACTAAAGTGAATAGCTACTTCACTCTACGTTTAAAGAAATAAAGTGGGCGGGTACTTTATTAATATGTTTGGAGAATTAAACTGCATGATTGTTGAAGATTGAGTTGTCTTTTTTAGTTAGAATTTAAGCCCGCCGCACACACTGTGGAACTTGCTGCGCCATCGCAACAGAAAGCTTTAGTTTACTTTTCCTGTTCATTTTAGGAGAACATGTTAAACCTTGTTGGCATCTAAGCTTACCTTTCTTGCAGTCTAATTTATCACAACACGAGCCAGGCACGTTAGTCGCTGGCTTCCTATCTCCAATTGGCTCCTGGCCAGCAGGACAACGAAGCTGTGTACACTTGCTCTGGTCACACTTACAACTGTAAACGAGAACGGTTGTCTGTTACACAGAATATATTACAGAATTATAGGTTATTCAGTACAGAATTAGATACAGGTACAGGGTACATATATAGGTACAGGTACATGGATTTAATTAAAAGTATTGTATAGTACAGAATTTTACGTTTGCATGCATACATTTGGAGATCACGAACAGGGCTTGCTAGTAGTAATAAAATTACAAATTTACACAATATCAAAATCAAGTTATTACCAATTGGTGTGGAGATATGTGCCGGTTTTAGACAGATACACTAAACATGGCTAACATTAGTTCACTGTAGGATATATTATATGCCTGCAAAAAATACTGCATTGTAATTGGTGCAGACCATATCGCGTGCAATGAAATAAAAACTAATATTGCCCACTGAAAATCAATGTTGCCCGTTGAGCGATGCTGCCACCTAGCACAAACAATCTTTCGCTACCAATGACCGCCACAACGTGTGGCAAAAGTAGATTTGAACCAGTGCACGAAAACAGTACATCATATAGGGTAAGGCGTGGTAAAGGTAAGCCTACTCTAACACAGAACTCTTGCCGAACTTCTTACTGTTTGTCATGTGATACAATAGATATCACTCAGTTTGTTGATAAATGGTAACGGATAGGATAGATGGCGCTGGCTACCTCGTCCAAATGCCGTAGACGTCTTATTTCTCTACGGTTATTATATGTGTGAGAAAAGACTATGGATGAGGCTGATTAATTGAATGTTTCAAGCTGCCTTTGGATTCATGTTTATTGAGTTACACATATTAGATTATAGACAGAGTGAGGCCAGTAAATGGAACTCTTTTTGTCCTTGCATGTCTCCTACTATACCATTCTTTGCCATATCTCACTCCCCTACCATAGAATTACGAATATGCCAATTATTTACATCATATATTACTCCTGTTTTTTATATTTTGTTTTTGCGTATAGAAAAACAAATATTGCTGGAACTGTTCTTGATGACTACTATCAAAATGTTTTCATAATTCTATATTTTATATCGAGCAATGGAAAGCTGTTACAAGAGTGTTCTCAAAACATTGTGGGTAACACTGGGCCCACCCATAGACACACAGGGTTACTCACGCACATATTTATCCAGAGACAAAGGTGTCTTTGTTAGGAGGTAAAGCCGGCCCATTGTTCTGGAACTTTGCATCCTGTTCTTGAAATAATTTTTTTAATAGCTGTACATGCAAAGCAGTACAGAAAAGTGATTTTAAGTAGAATGACCGTGTTTTCCCTTTGTTGAAAGATTATTACCTGGGATGTAATGCAAATGTTAAGCTCTGTGCAATTGTGTTTTGATGCCTTTGAAATGCAGATTGCTGTTTCATGTATTCACAAAATGAATGTTATTTCATTGCACCAAGGTGCTGGAATATTTATCTTTAGAGAGGTCTCTTTATCCACAAATTTCACAATAACAATAGGTGTCACGTACATAGCGACCACCCAATTTAAACTAGGTAAAGTGGGGCACGAAGGGTCGTTGTCGTATAATGGCGTATAATATGTACCCGAGGTAACTATATCTGATATGGTTAGTGTTAGGGTTACCGTTAGGGTGTTAGGGTTAGGGTTAGGGTTAGGGAGTAGGCGACATACTCGCCGACACCTCGGGTACTACATATACGATAACGACCCCTTCAGCTAAAGTGGGATACAAGACGTTTTGTTGCATTCATGTGCATATATGCGTGCACAATTATGACAGATGCATAACAATAATTAAACTACTACAACCTATTACTTGATATCTCATCTCGGGTCGGAATTCCAAACACTACATCTACGTGGCCTCACATTACCCCAGGCCCCAACATGTTTTAAAAATATCACCATTTTAATTAAAAATGCATCACATGCAATTAACTGCTTTTATATATTATTTTTAATTTTTTTACATTGTTTGATGAATGCAAAGTAAAATAAAAACGTACAATAATGGTGACACGGCGTGCTAACAGTAACAGTGCATTAAGTAAATTAATATGTTTGTTTACACTAACAGCTGGAATGTAGATACGCACGTCTAAGTAAGGTTTTTACGCACCTTTAGTAGGTAAAACACGAAAATGCATCAAATATTGACATACAATAAAGTTAAGTGTGCCTAGATGTTGTCAGCCCAAAAGTTATGCCAATTAAGTTCCACATTTGAAAACGCAATGTAATTTTCAACCTGTAACTGTTTCAGTCATCGTGACTGCAGAACTATTTTTTTAAATGGAGGAAATTAAATCTTGGAAGCCCATCCAAGTAATTGGAAGTTAGTACATCCCAACTAATTGTAATGTACATTTTTAGTAAATTTCAACTGCGCGGTTTAATTTATGACATCCTTGAATGTTCTTTAGTTAATTCAAATGCAGCAAATGTCTTCTTTTACTGCATATAATTTCCTAGCATATGATTTTATACTATGTCATTTTTCTATTGTAATCGCATGAACGAAAAATTCGCGTTTATATAATAGTCTGGTACGCATTATGTGGGACGTGGTAGTGGCTGGATAGATGGCGGAAGGGAAGGGGCATTTATGGGCGGATTTCTAACTACCATGTGGGTATCATATACTGTACTGATAGTTAGTAATAATATTGCATATACTCCGCCTTTGCCCACTGTGAGGGCCGGTTTACTGTGATCGATGGATAGCGCGAGAATTACATACTCGTGGTTACACATATTTCTGAAAACAACTAGCTGTTCCCGAAACAGTGGTTATTTCTCGGGATCCACCTAAACGCAGTAATGCACTTATTCCATGCGCGTATTAGGCCTACTAGATTTACTCGGTTTTTTCTGTAGTGTTTTGGATGCCGTGCAATGCGTGCATCGCGGTGTACTGATGCGAAGCAATGAGAAACCACGGTCAACTACGAATACGGCATGTAACATAAGCTGACTACGCAAACGCACTCGCACGAATAACATATATCTTCGCGAGCGAGTAAAGACATCTTCGAAATAATATCCGACATTATTTGTAGTCGGTGGTAGAAGCAGCGTGCGAGCACACCAGGCAACACTGACAATCGCACTGCTCGCGTGGATCGATTCAAGAAATGCAATTTCGATTATCTGCGAAGCTTGCCAAACACGACAACCGACCGACTGCGGCTAGCTATGTGGACAAACCTGCAGCACGAATGCTTTCAGTGTAAACTCATCAGGTCCTAGCTGCTTCAAAGGACCGAGCCATTAATGCATGCAGAACGTTTTCTCCCGGAGCAGCCCTTTCTACATTAACTACCAAGTAAGTGCAGCGCAGAAAATTCGATGCGAAACTACATTAGGAAATACATTACACAAAAGCCTCCTTAACATTTTCTCGGCGCCATTCTGAAGTGGACCGAATAATTAACCATCGCTCAACGACGAACGAAAGCTATAGGGTTAAAATGGTTTCAAACTACATATATACGAGAAGACGCATTCAAGAATAATATGCATATCAATGCGTAATTTAGTACAGAATATTTCGCATTCAAAATTCAATCTGCAATAAGTTGAATTAAGCACAAGACTTTATATCGGCAAAGATCTTTTGTAATAATTTTTTTTGCTTCTTTGCAGATTGTATTTGAATAAACTTGAAATCAAGTCAGTTCTTGAAACGAATGATTTCACTCAGGCAGGAATGCTTGTGCGGTTACCTTTTTCGTGTGTTCGTCATGGAGCATGGAACAATATGTCCTCTATGTCCTAATCTCTTACCCACCCAGGAAAATATTAACAAAATTCCCAATACCCCAAGAAGTTGCTCTGGTACGACTTAGTTATATCCATAAAACGTTTTAGTGCCAAAGCTTAGAGGCTTCATGAGTTAGGAATTTGTACATATACCATATGACGTGGTCTTACTGGATTAAACTGTGTGTAACCCGCAAACGATAGATCTTCCGTCCATGTGGCCCAAGATGTTGAAGATGCGAGACCGCCCTGGTCTACATACATAGACGTCGATTTAATGTGTGTAACTACCTCAGTGTTAATAACGTTGATGATCATGGCTTTTACAGATAAGACCCACCTTTAGGTTCATTCGCCAGGAAAAGAAATTGGTGGTAATTTCTCGTGACACAGTATTACGAAAACGTATTCCAATGCCATTCAAATACATTCCCGTCCACTTGCCTTACTTTTATCTCTCATTCGGCCCAAATTTCTGTCATTAATTCCCTGGTTATCATACTTAGCTGTGATGTTATACATGTGATTACGGTTATCAACCGCCTAACTATCACTGTTGTCACATAGTTCACCATACATGAAACAATCTACTATCATCATGCTCTACCTTGTAAGCATCCCAAGTATTGCCGACTCGCAAGCCTAAGCAAAACATCAGAGCAAAATTACTCTACATCGGTATTTTTAACACCCAATTTGGACTGAAAGGCTTCTATAATGCCTGCCCGTCTATAACGCACCAATCGTAGTACACATGCGTGTGCTACTACATAGCAGTAATTCCAACGACTGATACCTCAGCTATATATACGTTCGCACAGTGCTACGACTCTAATCAGTACGGAATACCTTTACACTTTCATCATCAAATTGAGTTTTGCAGCTGCGGAATGATAAACCTCACTTCAAAGAAAAACCCGCCTACCGCGTTAGTCAGCAATTCTCTTTGAGTTCTCTTGATTTCCACTTCAATTGATTTTCACCGTCTACGTCCCAGTAAATTCGCAGGGCTTCCAACGAAGCGCTTGATTAGAAAGAAACTAAATTGCGCGGTAGTGCATCTGGAATAGCTAGCGTGAAGCCTAACAAAAAATCAAGTTAATAAGCTAGATGAAGTATCTAAATTGTAACATTTTGTATGCAGACGTCCAGCACTATTTCCCCCATCATTTGTCTACCATAATTTGACACACACTTGATAATTATGACAACACCCAATTTAGTAATAACACGCCGCAAGCCATTGCCATCACAACACGCGTGCACGCGGGCGGGCGCGCATACGCACGTATGCTCGTTCCACGATGTTTTCCTTACATTATCGAGAACCGATCGTATGCATACATTTACCTGGCATTCACATCCCCCCAGCACCGTCCTACGAATACCCGCAGGCATGTTAGTACACTACTGCGTGTGCGGATATATAAATAGGTATCCACGTACGCAAACATTCCACATGTTTATGCACAAAGAACCAGGAACGGGTAAGAGACGGACCGGCGAAAAAAAGCGCATCACAAAAAAGGCAACCGATTATCCAAACAGAGAATGTTAACACATTCTACCTTCAAAATAAACACCCCATAGGCTAAATTATTATAGACTATAGGTCTAGTTTATCGGCTGTGCAAACAACACTCGAGACGGCTACTCGTACAACGTGAGAGCAATAACACGCTGTTAAAACGGGTTTCCCATGCACAACTGCTAGTTTAATCCTTTCACTTCGCTCGGTCCGGAGTCGACCTTGTATATATCTATAATATATATATATATATATATATATATATATATATATATATATATATACCAGCAACCAGTAACTCGTCAGTCGCATGGCTGCGTAAACAACGCCCTGGAGAGTCGTCTAGGAGTAATCATGTCTATGCATACATCCTCCTAGCTATGCTTCCTGACTGTCTTCATCCCTAATACACTATTTCTGACTTCCTTCATCACTATAATACACTCACTGCATATATGCCTGCCAGCATATCCCTCGATGCATACGTATCTACACACTCGCCGTAATAATTATACATTCTCAACGGTTACAAGCGCAATTATTTGCTGCTTTGATAACGTTAATTGAAGATCCGCCCTCGAGGGCTCGGTGTAAAATTTAAATGCAGTGGCCAGACAAAACAACTTAAACGACGTGTATCTAATCAGTAACGCTACGTAATGCATAATAGAAGCAAATATCTTTACAACGAACCCGCAGTATTGATCTATAGACGGGGTGATTACTTTTACGACAAATAGATGGAACACCCACGGAGGCCAGAAACACGCTCGCAGCATTCCAGCAAACGAGACGACCGAGATACCGAGACGACCGAGACGAACGATGATACGAACTCACTTTATATCACTCGATGCTTTCATTTTTATCGGGTGACACCAACTAATGCATCACGCAGCTGCTACGCACGAAGGTAAGCTATATATATAGGCTATATAGACCGAGAGATCCGCCGTCTGTGCGGCACTCGTGGACGTGATAAGAGTGTGTTCTCAGACGTGGCAATTAGAAACATACATGCACTAGCCTACATCACATACTAAACATGACGCCCGTGTGCCTCTATCCGCTTCGACAAACACACCCAGACGCGCGCCTTCTCTCAGTCGCCGTCCGTCACATACACTGTGATTTTTTTTACGTTTTTGTTTGTTTTTCAAAACCCTGCGCGATTTCGTTTGTGACAAGAAAGCGAGCCCCCGAAAATGTCACGCAGGGTAAAGTCACCAGGCCGTCGACGTCGCACGCGCCGACGTTAGCCGAACAAATTACCCGTCATGCATGCGTCGCTGTCGCATTTTTCGGCACCATTAGACCAAACAAACCGTTTTGAGCAGCATCCTCAGCGGCGCGTGTGTGTGTGCGCGCCCATTTACTGCAAAAATTGATTTAGCCTATCCTCGCTGACTGAAAGCAAACAAGGAACTCGTTGCCTAGACATACGTGTTCGTATGTAAACTGGCACCGGGGTACCAATTAAAGTCCCGCTGGGGGAACGGCGAATATTTGTCATGAATCTGCATGCGCCGTAGCCGCATGCACTCTCCACGTCGTCGGACTAGTCTTTAGAAATGTCGCTCTCACTCTTTCCCCGGTGAACGAGTGGATTCAATTTCGTGAAATAATCGGTTGGGTATATAGCTCGTATTCCCCGCTTTCTGCCCCGACCGACGTGATGACGCGTGTATATATTACGTGCTCATCATGTATCATTAGGAACTTAGTTTAGAGTGAGGACTTCAGTTATAGTAAGGGATTGTGATTGAATAGGGTTTATGATTACGGTTACGGTTAGGGGGCCATTGGTGAAAGTGCGGTTTTGAATTTCAGTTGCAGGAGTTAGGGAGCGTCAAGGGTTATAGTGTTAAGGCATGGTTTACTGTTAGTGGTCAGTTTTACAACTTTATTTCCCATTTTGTCACTACGTTTTCGGCAGCGATTGAGGTTCAGGGGGATGCATATAATATAATCAGTCAGATCCATAACCGAGATATCGCATTGACCACCGATTGAATTGTAGTCTACGGATGACAGACATTTCGCATCGCAGTGTGCGCGTCTGCGGCAGGTATTCCCATCTATCTATTCACTATCCTTACCTGATAGATTTCGTGCAACAGGGGGTGAAGACCCGCTCTGCGGGATGCGATACTAAAACACTGTCGTCAGGACAGTCGGGGGCACTACAATTTGTCATCGGTAGTTGACATTCCTCATCTGCAAAAAAAAACAAACGCACGCGTAAAATCAAGAGCTGATAATACGTGGTCTTATTGTGGTACTACCGTTGTGGTACATGGTCCATGGTCTTATGGTGTAATACAAGGTATTATTAGCTCTTGGTAAAATGAATTACACCGCGCTCTGAGTATATGACGTGACAGAGCTAAACAGGGGGCTAGGGCATGTTAAGCAGGGCTGAAAAGAACTAATCACTATTTATTAGTTCCCCCAAAGTCAGGTAGCATACGCCAGCACCTGCAGTGGCTGTGGTTCGCCTGTATATATAGTGGCTACAGCGCAGTCTATTACGCGAATTTGTGTGCGGAATTATTTTTCGAAGTTTCCCGAGAGCCAGTTTAAAAATTTGTTACCACTGGCAACGATCGACGTGTTTCATTTTATTCAGCCTATGCTGTGTTGAGCCGGAGTCCATGTAGAAATGCCGTTTGTCTATGACGTGATTGCAACAAGTGTCTGATTCGCCCGATACAATATTGAAAACGGTTTCTGATAGAGAGAAGATATTTCACTTGATGAAAAAGCTCGAAAACGCAATGTTGCCTGATGGAATGTTGGAGTCATTTCCGACGGTAAACATGATTCCAATCTGTCTTTATGGCGGCTGGCTGACGATGATGTATGGTAGAATTTAGGTGTCCGTTTCATACACGGAAAATACGTTTTACGCCATGGTAATATATGAGTCCAGACTGGAGTTGTAGTGGTTCTCCTACAACGTTATGCCATAAAATGTTTGAGCCATGCAATTTCATGTAAACACAGGATGTTTTACCTCGTGTAAAGACATGACTACAGATTGGTTGTGGTGGATGACTCGGGATGTTGTTTGATAATATGTTGTAGCGAATTTCCTGTGTGGGAGATAATGTTTTACTTCAAAATAACATGACTCTAGAATGTGTTTGTTCTGTCTTGTATGACTACATATAGTGCGGTATACGTTGGAGCCAATTTCGCGCAGTGTATTATTCGTGTAGTGAGATATTGTTTGACTTTAAACTGATACAACAAACCTCCAGCGTATGCTTGTGCTGGCTACCTCACGAAGTTATGCGATAATATGTTGTAGCCAATTTCTTGCATAGCGATAACATTTTACTTTAAACTAATAGATGGTTCCAGGTTTTGATCATTGTGCCCAGTTGTCAATGATACGTGATGAAATGTTAAAGTTAGTTTCAGATAGGAAAGTCTCCAGTCTGTGGTTGTGGGAGCATCTGCATGGTGACGGAGTCTAGTCAATTTATCATAGTTGATAACCTAGTCTAATGCCTAATGTCTTAGGCCGAACGATATCGTAGTCTATAAATTTATCATTCTTTTATCACAATATATAGTTTGATAATTATATTTCCCAGATTACTCATTTCTAACATTAATTTACCTAATATCATATTAGATATTAGATTATCATTTAGAGATTATTTTTGCATCAATTTTTAAACGTGTTAATTGCAGAGTGGATAGAGACTCAGGGAGATATATCATGTTTACTAACACAGTAGATTGCCTGACATGGCTAGATGGATATGATAAGATTAAAACATTATTTAATAATTTCTTCATTATTGTGCCTGCTATGTATAAAATGGCTAAGTTAAACATTCTTGCATCGCTCAGGTGGCAGAAATCTTTACTTATAGTTACATTCCAAGTTGTGTATGTCATCAGAACATATTTTTAAACCATTTTTCCAACCGCAGTCTGACTTCGTTAACTGATACATGCCGCACACGACGCACACCCGGTATAATCACTACTACAAAACGAATTCATAGGTAGAAAGATGAAACAGTCGTGAATCATACCTTTATATTTACACTCATATAGATCACAGCAACTTCCCGGCGTACTACTGTTTCCACGGCGCACAATCACTTCCTGCCAGCCAGGCTCGTCACACACGGCTGGACGACACTCTCCGCAGATGCAGCGACCAGGTTTTGGACAGCAACTGTCAGCATCTATAGGCAAAACAACAGAGCAGTAAACGCCAAATGAATAAACGGAATTACTACAACTCATTATTCAAATAATGAAATTTGCATTGTGTATCGGTATCGACAGTAATTTTTATATTTACATAATATCAGAAGTAGATAATAGGGATTCCCTATTATCTACTTCTGATAATATCACACATACACGCGCACACGCCCCACGCCACGCGACGCACTGCGCGCGCGCGCAACACGCACGCACGACACGCACGCACGCCACGCACGCACGCACGCCACGCACGCACACACGCACACACACACGTATATATATATACACCTATCTTTCATTAGATACACTGGAAATCGTGCAATGTAGGATTGAATCAATAGTGAGATTAAGACCATCAGTCCATCACAATGCACGGGAGTTTTCATTATCGATTATTTGGCTTCATCTAAAACAAATGCTAGAAATTTTGAAACCATACTTTAAAATATTCTCAAATGGGTTATATTAGTAGGTCGCATACATGGGCGCAAATACTGACTGTAAATAAAACTGAGAGTCAGGGCCATGCCCCAATGATGCCGTTTCTTAACATTTTTCCCTAGATGCCTCAAGCGTTGATCACGTATTATAAATTCATGACGCACGATTGAAATTATTTATTCATCGAGCATATACATTTAGAAAAACTCCTCGTGAAAATTCACGAAAGGAACATTTTGGTTAAATCCCATCGCTAGCGTCCATTATATGAACCCATTGGGGAAACATATGTCATCACGTCAATCCAGCTTGCATTTTCAAGTCAGACAGCAAATCAGTGCAGTTTTCACCATCAGCATAACATCTCATATTAACATAATAACATCTCATATTAGCATAACATCTCACATTATCAACATCGTTTCCAGTGGCGTAGCTAAGATTTTTTCCAGCGGTGGGGCACTGGGGGGGCCTTACATTTTCGTGGGGGGCACAATATATAACTTTTCTTTGTATTATACTGTTCTAACCGGCATATGTTTATAATTCAATTTTTTTTTTATCAAGCAGGAATTTTCAGTGGGGGGCACCTGGGGGGCACAGAAAATTTGTGGCCCCCCCGTAGCTACGCCCCTGATCGTTGCTAAGCCCACCGGTTTCTTCCCCCATCGCAAATCGCAGTCAATTAAAATAATGGAATGTGTTGAAAGTCGCCGGTGATCGTGAGTGAGAGCGAGACAGCGATAACGGCTGACAGCTAATACCTGCACGCTGTGTTTCAATAACCTCACTGTCTGGCGGACAGAGCATCTGAGGAACTGGCGTGCACATCACCTGGGAGCAGTTCAGGCCGTACGCAGGCGTAACCCTGTAAAATACAACATGGATTGTGTTAGATGCGTTAATTAATTTGGTGTTGTTAGGGTTTGTTTTAATTTTTGTGTTGAATGTTAACAGTTCTGATATTATTGTCATCACTGTCATCATCGTCGCTATCGTCACCATCATCGTCGCTATCGTCACCATCATCGTCGCTATCGTCACCATCATCGTCGCTATCGTCACCATCATCGTCTACATTAGTATGTGATATAGCGCCATTTCATCGTCAATCACCTTGAGTGACAACTATGTCTACGATGCTAGAAAATGACTTCATGCCTGTACTTTTGACGTGCTCTACGTCGTTGCCTTGCATAACATGAATAAGATATTGCGCATTAATAATAAATTCGTGTAGAAAGCAATCGCGATGTATTTCTAAAAGTCATGGGATTTACATCGTAACTTATTTATGATCCTTGAAGTTCAATAAAAAATGGAATTTCACCCAGCAACAACGACCCGGGGATATTCGAAGCAGCACGACAGAACCACCGACAAATACGTACGTCTGACATTGGCATCGCAGCCGCTTAAATTTAACACATGCCATGTCGGATAAATCAGCACGCCACTAAAAGGTTCAAGAATGTACACCCCCAGCTGCGCCACTGCGACCACGCAAAGCCCAGCCCGCCGAAATTCTTACCTGGGGAATTTCTCGGTTAATAAGTTAAATCTGCTTTCAGCGACCTAAGGCACCGAAGCATTTGAAGTGCAACTTTTTTTTTATTCACATCACTGCATACTACGCTTGAGGGTGTATTGGGATTGCCTAGTTACGGACGTAGTGTACACGAATCGAATGATTCGTCTAATCCATCTGCCTGCGGCAGTGTATGCGAGACAAAATTTTATTTACTCGACGGAAAAACGGCGCATCAAAGCTAGAAAAGAATTCCTCTCATGCTACCTAGCTATTTTCTGAATCACACAGAAGGCCAGATTGCCAAATTGCTTAATAATTGGTTATCTTATTTAATAAAGAACAGTGCCTGGCCACATAAAAAAGCGAAAGGGCGCCCAATTACGTATTGACGTGGCATTCTATTATAGCTGCATTCGTCTGCGATTCTGGTGAACGCCCGTCAGCACACATTCCTACAGCGTTTTACGACGTGCTGGTATCGCAAGTCCTCTGGACATCGATATGTGAAAAATCAATAGTTTATTTCCTTTATTATTTTAAAAAGACACATTAAACACATTCGACCGATTTCGCTGCGTTCCCTGAATCAGAATGAACTGGCGCATATGGCCAACATCCAATGATGTATGCTCTCTGATACGTGATACTTTAGAATGGAAGCATTCTAACTATAAGTTTAGTATTTTCTACCAAGACACAGACATCATTTTCAGCGAATTCCATTATTTCGTTATCATTCCATTAGCGATGTGTAATGGCAGTAAGTTCTCCAACTCTAGAACTATTGATCGCAGTTAAATCAAAATGCCAACACGTCACAGAAACGTTTAAACGGCAACTAGTGCTGCTACCGTTCTACATATGGCAGTAACTACCAATCAAACGCGTACATGAGGTAGTGGTGTTTTTATAGCTTTCCCAGCTGCTAGAATAATTGGTATCAGCAGGGTACGCGTAATATGGGATTTAACTTGGGTCACGCATGCACACTTGGCACACAAGAACGTAACAAAAGCATATATCACTATTGAACGCGTTTATAAGCTCTGGCGTTTCTAATCTCTTTAGCAATGAAAAAACATCACCCGCGTGATCATGAGCAGTCGTCACATTTTTTTTTCGAAATGTCATGGATGTTACGGAATTTTCTTTTCTTTTTTTTCTATTTCAGAACAACGCACGCACGGACGCACGCACGCAGGCACGCACGTGTGTGTGTGTGTGTGTGTGTGTGTGTGTGTGTGCGTGCGTGTGTGCGCGCGCGTGCGCGCGCGTGCGGCGCTCGGTTGTTGTTTGTGTGTGTGCGTGCGTGCGTGCGTTTGCTGTGTGTGCGTGCGATGCGTGAGGAGCGGGCGGTGCGTGCGCAGTCTGCGCGTGCCGTGCGTATGTGAGTGGAGTGTTGTGTGTTGGGAAGGATGAGACCTTGATCTCTGTTCCGAGTGGATTCAAAACTTTAGAGCGCGCCTGACTAATTTTTAAATGACGCCTCAGACGGCGACGATTGTTTTACTAATTCGCGCTCGCGCAGGCACGCGGGCCCACGCGGATCACGCACACGGCGTGGGTGAGTATAAGTACCGGCACGGCGTCCCGACAAAAAAATGCCGGACTTTCGCCCGGCAGCGGTGACTGCAGCTCGTGTCGAGATCTCCGACGGAGCCGACGATGGATGAAACAAGACACGCCCGGCGCTCTCTCTCTCTCGTTCTTCTCTCTCATCTCTCTCTCTCTCTCTCTCTTCTCTCTCTCTCTCTCTCTCTCTCTCTCTCTCTCTTCTCTTCATCCCTCCTCTCCTCCCTCCCTTCCCTCCCTCTGCTCTCTCTCGCTCTCTCTCTCTCATCTCTCTCTCTCTCTCTCTCTCGAGTGGACACAACTCTAAACAGTCAAGCGGCGCATCAGTAGTTATAGTGAGCCGATACTCGAGCGTTCGAGCTTCGTCGCGCGTGCCCAATTAGAAACGCAGCATTTTTGCCCCGTCATCTCTCCCCCTCCCCTTCCCCGCCCGTGCGCGCCCGTGTCTTTCTGTCCACTCGGTTAAGCTTCACGGGAAAAGCTCGTTGGAAATGCGGCCACAGGCCCGTTGACACGGAATTACGAGAATAATTACTATATTACTACTAGAGATTTAAAGAAACCTTAGAAGTATAACCCCACTTAATCGATGTCGTTTTCACACCCCAGCAGTACAGCCTAGCACGGTAGTTTGCTAGCATGGTGTGCACAGTATGGTATGGTACGATGCGGTACGGTACAGTACGGTACGGTACGGTACGGTATGGCATGGAGTAGCGTAGCATAGCATAGGATAGCATAGCACGGTATAACATAGCATACCATAGCATAGCATACCATAGTAGTGCTGAGAGTGTCTATGTCCCCAGGGCTAACCTGGTTACTATCTAATATGCCGGAAACGTTACTCGCCTTACTCCACTAACGAGTCTAGGAGCATCGGCCTACGCCTACTCCCTAACCCTAACCCTAACCCTAACCCTAACCATATCAAATAGTTACCAGGGTACGTTCCGGTATACCGGACCGTACCCAGGGTACGTTCCGGCAGTACACTGGGGGACATAGACCCTACGAGCCATAGTAGTGATAGTAGCCAATCTAGTACGTAGGTATTCACACCCTTGCATCATCAAGCATCCCCTATACCTGCTGTTGATTATGATGTTGATATAGATATGATATAGATGTTGACTAGAGTTAGGGTCACACTATACGATCACACGTGCCTGTTATGAGCACAGGCACTTGAAGCATATCAACTGTAAGCGCACGGCGCCGCCATTGCGCGTACACTAATACATAGATATAAGAGACTCTTATATATAGAATCTAAGAACCTAAGATATCTAATATATAGATATAAGAGACTCATATATCTATGTATTAGTGTACGCGCAATGGCGGCGCCGTGCGCTTACAGTTGATATGCTTCAAGTGCCTGTGGTTATGAGTAGCACACACGCGCTCCGCTATAACACCATTGCATCATCGAGCATCCCCTTCCTGCTCCCCGGTGCCCAATTACACAAACACTACAAATAGTTTACGTTGGAGCGAAAATTGTTTACGCTCAACAAACGACGCCGTAAAACTATACGCACTGCTAGTTGGCTCGAGCAGCGCTGCGATGGGAAGGCAAGATAGAAACAGTAATAGTAAATACCCAGCGCCAAGGATGTATTTACCGCGGCAGCCACCGGTGGCGCTGTCAATCACTCATGACGGGGGCGGATACGCGAGTTTAGCAGACGCGCTGATTCTCCTGTTTATATACCTACACTAAAAAGTATGACTCCCGTGCGCAAGGAGAAACCTACTACGACGCTATCAAGGATATCTAGGCCACGGCGGGGAGACGTATCCGTGCCTGTCGGCCGGCACAACATGCCGTTTAACTTTGCCAACCAAGGTTGCTGCTGCGCCCGAAACTCGTCTGCGGCGGGTTCGACTTCCAGTGATAGCGCTCTAGCGCCGGCTTGCACTCACGCTCATTTACAGCACGGCTGGAATGTTTGTCGAGTGGGTGGCATTTTTTAAAGAAAATCCGGCAGGCGCGTTGTTAGCAGGCCAGCGTCAAAGTCCAAGATATATATATATATATATTGAGTTTTAGAGAAAAAATTTCAATACCGTGCGACTGAATCAGGGCGTCGTAGGCCTATATATCGTATATATATCGTATATATCGTATATCGTATATATATCGTATATATCGTATATATATATATGGTATATATCGTAAATATATCGCTACCTGAACATTTTCAAATGCGATTTCGCTATGTATCTACGAACTTGAAACATTCGTGATAGCTAGAAACATATAAGCGCGCGCGTGTATGCGCGTGCGTGGGTGTGCATGCGTGTGTGTGCGCGTACGCACAGCCGTGCGTGGGTGTGCGTATGCGCATGCGTGCGTGCGTGTGCGTACCCGCGTGCGTGCATGTGCGTGCGCGTGTGTTTGAATGAGCATCGCCACAGACCGCATCACGCGACGTTGTTTCTATATGATGAACTGGCTAGCCGAGCCGGCCGCTTCATCTGCGCCGCTGCCGCCGCCGCCGCGCGTTGACGTAGCGCCCGCGCCGCGCGCGCGTGTTGCAACCGGATTCGCCCTCTCAACGCTTGCCGCGAAAAAAAAAACATCATTAAAACCACTTCATTGTTGCTACGCTCGGCCTGCACGCATGGCCAACCCCTTATGACATCGCACTATACGGACATGACAGGCGCCCCTAAAGGAGCAAATACACGAGCACCGCGCACGACCGCTTCTAAACGGGAACTCGTTCCTCCGACTCGAACGGCGAAACTCGACGCGG